ATAGGTATACGCAAGAGCATTCCAATGTCGCTAACCTTGCAAACATAAACGATCATCTAAACTAGTTTACCTCTACTCCCAATAAACTATGAATTCAAGACGAAAATTACCGTCGCAAAGTTTACTTTTTGCAAAGAATGTACCTACGTTGCACAATCCCAGCAACTTTGAAATGCTCTTAGTTCCTTTTTGCAAAATGCAATCCAATTGGTTGTTGCTGCAAAAAAATAGCTTCCAACAACCTGCTATACAATGCTCCAGTGACCATGTAAGTTGGCCCGAGCACCAACTTTTCTGGAAGAAAGCCTTTCCCCTACCTGCAGGGGCGTAGCTAGGAAATTTCTCTGGGGGGGGNTCTCTCGTGGTGAAGAGAGCGGGGGAGGGTGAGGAATGAAGGATCCCGTTTTTCTGGGGGGGGGGGCACGAGATTTCTGGGGGGCCAGGCCCCCCCCAGGACTCCCCTAGCTACGCCCATGCCTACCTGGTTTCTCACTTAATATCCGCCCGAGTTTCGCATATCTTCCGTTTCTCCTCATCGCAGCTTCCATCAAACCGCAATTGCCCGGAAACTAGGCCCGCACATCTTATCTGATAAAATCGTTCACCCTTTAGACCGATTCTGGGGGGTTAGGCTAGAACTAGTCGATGGGTCAACTGTTGATCTAATTTCATTACGTGAACGTAGAAGAAAAACGGGGTAAAAAATCACTAATGTGTGATCAATTTTCAAGGACAATTCTGTAATTTCTCCTACGATTTTAAATAGGTTAAAACGCGTAATATCCAAAATCTAAGCTCAGATTCGGATTCCTCGTGAAAAACTGATGCGATTTCATGCATCAAATTTTAGAATAGCGTGAAGGAAAGAGGTTTAATGACGTAAAATAAAACACTATTGTGTGATCAATTTTCAAGGACAATTCTGTAATTTCTCCTACGATTTTAAATAGGTTAAAACACGTAATATCCAAAATCTAAGCTCAGATTTGGATTCCTCGTGAAAAACTGATGCGATTTCATGCATCAAATTTTAGAATAGCGTGAAGGAAAGAGGTTTAATGACGTAAAATAAAACACTGTTGTGTGATCAATTTTCAAGGACAATTCTGTAATTTCTTCTACGATTTTAAATAGATTAAAACGCGTAATATCCAAAATCTAAGCTCAGATTCGGATTCCTCGTGAAAAATTGATGAGATTTCATGTATCATATGTCAAAATAGCGTGAAGGAAAAAGGTTTAACGACGCGTATAGATTCTCTTTGAACTACGCCGCCGCGCCGGTCGCCCGAGATGCAACCGAACGGGGAGGCGCCATGGCGCTAAGCATTCGGTTTCGTCCCGAGGAATTCCTCAAGATAAATTCTTATTCTTCCTCCTCCGCTGACCGACTGAGCACTAACCATGTTGCCACGTTGCATTCATATGCTCGAATCAGTATGTCTACGTTGCGTCTCTTTCCTCCACGCTATGCTCGGGTATGATACATGAAATTGCATCGATTTTTAACGAGGAATCCGAATCTGAGCTTCGATTTTGAGTATTACGCGTTTTAATCAAAATCTGTCAAAATCTGTCAAAATTCAAAATTCGAAAATCCGAAATGACTGAAGTGGCTTAAAATGCTATCTCGGCTCCTGTTCGATGGATTTTTCTGAAATTCGGTGTCAGAAGGTATATTTCGACGGGAAACTCGAATTTTTAGTCCATTTCTTAAAATTCTAAAATTCAAGATGGCGGACGTTGGCTAAAATGCTATCTCGGTTTCTGTTTGTTCGAGTCTTGTGAAACGCAGTATCACACGGTATTTTTCAACGGAAAACTCGAATTTTTAGTCAATTTTTTAAAATTCTTAACTACAAAATGTTGAATGCGGCCTAAAATGAGCCTCGGTTCTGGCCTCCGTTTCTGGTCGTTAGAGCTTTGTGAACCGCGGGATCAGGGGTACTTTTCGACGGGAAACTCGAATTTTTAGTCGATTTTTGAAAATTCTCAAATCCAAGATGGCGGACGTGGCCTAAAATGCTCCGTCGGTTCCTGTTCGATGGATTTTTCTGAATCTCGGTGTCTCAGGGTATTTTTCGACCGGAAACTCGAATTTTTAGTCAATTTTTAAAAATTCTCAAATCCAAGATGGCGGACGTGGCCTAATATGCGGAGAAAGTNAACCGCCCCAAAAACATACAAATGAAAACGAAACCAACTCCTAAAAGGTACCTGAAATGATGAATTTTTCAAATTAACCGCCCCAAAAACATACAAACGAAAACGACACCAACTCCTACAAGGTACCTTTCATAGCCTTTCCATGCAGTCCGAGTACCGAACTCCTATGGAGTACCGTTCATGGACTTTCCATGCAGCCCGAGTACCGAACTTCACCCTAATATGCTATCTCGGTTTCTCTTCGTTCGAGTTCGCTGAAACTCGGTATCACAGGGTATTTTTCAACGGGAAACTCAAATTTCTAGTCAAATTTCCAAAATTCGTAAACCCAAGATGGCGGCCGTGGCCCAAAATGTCATCTAGGCTCCTGTCGGTTTTTGTGAAACGTATTATTAGGGTAACTCTTCATTGTATGGCGGGTTATGAAAAACTATTTTTCGCAGGAACAAGTAACCCGCTTCTTCAAAAATAGCAACTTCACACTCATAAGTGTGTATAGTGAAGAAATTTTAAGCCAGGATATTTTTTTACTGACAGTAGGTACTCCATGTAAACTTTTGATGAGCCGGCAGGAAAAGTATAGTCTATAAAATTGAAATAAAATAGTTGAATATAAAAATGTAAACATTCTAAAATGAAAATCCAAAACAGAAAGTGCTGACCGTAATTCTTGGTATTCCAACAGAATTTTTCTCTTCTTGAATGTACACATGATTCCTACCCCTGTGAAACATCAACAAAGGTTTTCATGGCATTTACAGGCAAAAATCGAAGGCCAAAACCAGGTATCTCGTACACTTTCATTTCTAAAATCCTTAAAAAACTATAGCAGATTAAAGATGCCAAAAAATTGAGATAAAAATGCCTCCTCTCCAAAATTTATGGCTAACCATGTAGCCACCCGCCACCCCCTTAATCCGGCCCTGAACTAAACTCTGCATGATCGAAAATGCTTTGATCTGAAGATCTGATCAACAGGATATCCGGAGGTATTTTTGAAATTCCCGCTATCTATGGGTTCAACTCGGAATAAATGGAATGAACCAGTAATCTTTGGAATTTGGAATGAACCTCCAGGAACCGCTCTGGACCAATCATAATAAACCTACCCCTCACCCTCGCCCCAACCTTGCCCTCCTCACCCTTCACCTGGATTGAGCGTTTTTGCAGGCAAAGACCCCCTACGAATGAGCAGGCGATCACAGAGCGGGAGTAGCTGGTGGAGCGTGCATGAAGCTCGCTCGGACTCCATGATTATACTCTGTTGCTCTCTCCTCTCCTCTACTCTTTGCACATCACATAATGGCGCCAAGCACAAATTTCACTCTCGGAGAAAAATTAAACTGCTCAGCTCAGGGAATTGACCTTTTTGATCGGGATTAAATTTCTAAAAGAGTTCAAACCAAGTACTAACCAGGGTAATTCTCAAAATTCTTTGGCAAGACATTTTTCTGATATAATTTAAGGATTACCTAAGGAGGGAAAATCTTTAGCATATCTGGCACAAGCTTGTGTGGGGGCCCCGCAGCGTTCTGAGGCATTGAAATCAAATTCTAAACGTACCTACTTACATTTTGAATTTTGATGGAAAATAAGGGGGGGAGGGGCTTCATTTATATCTGAGCCATGGGGACGCCAGATGATGAGGGATGAGTTTGAGGATTTTTGCGCTCAGCAGAGATGTTTTCAGGAGCATTGGGGGAACTAGTTAGGGGGAGGGGGGAGAAATATTACCCTCTCCTGACTTCGAGAAATATGAGGGCTTTTGCTAAGTTAGCTGTGTTGCTAGACTTTCATTGTGGAATTTGTAATTCTACCAAAAATATTTACATGTGAAGATGAACCATCAAGCTAAAAATTTAACTCAGCATTCGCACAAATTTATAATTTTTTTTTTGTGGCACAATGGTACAACTTCTGGGAAACATCCTGTTAAAGGTAACGAGGCACTTAGCATATTCCTTGAAAAATTTGCTAAAAAAATATCTTTGCACATTTCTGCTTTTGATAACTTATACCTACAAAAGTACATAACGATCCAAAAAGTGGTGAATTTTACCAGTCAGGCATCAAGGGGTGAAATATGGGAGCATAAATATAGCATTAGGTACCTAAGATGACATTTGAATCAGTGAGTTCGAAAATACACCAACTCGAAAAAAAAAAATTTCAGGAAACACCTAAAACTTCGCAGCGGGCGAAGAAGTTAGTTTAAGAAAAACTTTTTTGGTGCCAAAGGACGCAAGATCTTGCGTCTCTAGAGTACTTCGAAGTACTCTAGAGACTTTAACGCACCAAGTTTCAGATACTGATTTTTCATAGTCTGCCCTGAAAAATTTATATTTTTTGACCTGAATAACGCTTGAATATTTATATAACTTGTTGGCACAAGGTATACTGAACCGAAAAAAGAAAACAGCATCGGATAGTCACCCGATTCCCTTGATCGGCCAAAAATTGGTATTTCCAATGAAATTCTTCGATTCTTCCCTTTTCCCGTCGCCGTTTCGAGCACTTCCGATTGCAATTTCGAAATATCCTTTTGCGTGCAGATGCTTCTACTTATCCAGAAGTGTAACTAAACCGCAAAAAAGTGAAAATCGAAAAAAAACCCGTGTTGGAGTGTTTCCGAACTCACTGATTCATTTTACATTATTGGAAACATGATTATTTGGATAGATAAGGTGGGGAGACGGCATAGACGATAGGATGGGTTAGAGTAGGTATTGGTTAGAGAGTGCTCGAACTGCTCTGAGTTCCCGTCGCGCCACGCAGCCATCTTGCCTGCTCATTCCGAGGGGGTCTTTGCCTGCAAAAAGTAAACATCCCTTCACCTGATGCTGGTGCTGGTGAATCTTTGTTTACGTTTACGTTAAAATCTTCCATCCAGGCGGCCGGCCAATTTTTCAGTAATTATTTTCACAATTCTGTGCTTTACAGTACTGTAAGTGCAACTGATACATACCTGGGTTTCCGAAGTTATCTCTCGAGTGTTTTTGTTTTGCTGTCACGAGTTTTTCTACACCCTTCTTTGAAATGTGTGCAAAAATGGCATTTCAGCATCAGGCAGGCACAGCCATGGAGTGTTTAAGCGTAAGTCTTTTTGGTATTAGTACTCGAACCTACTTCAAGTACAGAAATCTTATCTTAAGAGCAGTTATACTAATAGCAGCGGTACTGTCTTGCACGAGGTAAATCTGTCTCTTTAAGGGAGTAATACCTGCTTCACTTCAATGAGGCGACGCCACAGGTGTGTCGTCAAAGTATCCCAAATGCCAAGCGGTCGACTTTGTTTGCGTCACCTAATTACTTTCATGTTTCTGTGTGAACGCGCAACATCTCTAAGTAATACCAAAATTGTTTTGTTTTTGGTTGTTACCAAAATTATACAGCATTTCTAACCTCACTTCGCTCCTCCTTTCTTTCTCTCATTGGTTGCGAAAATGTAACACTATTAAATATCAAAGATATTGTCAGATAGAGCGGAGTCATCCTATGTTAAGACTAAAGTAAAGTCTTAGTTACCACTCATCGGTGGTGCTATCTGACTGCATGGCTGGGTTGTCAAGGTAAACTGCTTAGGATCGTTGGGCAACGGAATCACCCGATTCCAAACGCTTGGCGTTGTTCGACTCCGTTTGGATTGCCCGATGTCCTGGAATGTTTACCAAACAGAAGTCAACAAGTCATCGGTCTCAGAATGTAGTTGAGAGCGTTGAGCTAACCTCTAACTGTAATTGTGCACTCAAAACACAACAGTTATTAGTCAACAGAAACAACCGACAACATGTTTCCCAACAGGTAACAATGGTCACGTTATATCTGTTAGCGTTGAGCACCCAACGCAAAAACAGAAAGTTTACTTCCACAACGCACCTCATGTACAATCCTGTTCAGTGGTGCTGATTCAGAGATAATCAGAAGTTGACATTTGTCTCGACATACGATGACTCTGCTGTAAGTTGGCAGTTGTTTTTTTTCAGAATCTGTATAAAAATGCTTGGGTATATCCAATATCAAAACGCTCGGGTACATTGATATCTAAGTGTATCTTCACAGCCAGTGTTCCCCTCGTCATCGATACAGCTAAAAAAATTTCTTTAATTTCTTAATTGCGTGATTAATCTCAAAAAAAAAAATAATAATAAAATAAAAAAAATAAATAAATTATTTTAGTTTGCCGGCGATTGCAATGCAATGGTCCAACAATAATCAAGGATTGACCTCAGTACAGCCACTGGGCGCATAGACGTAAACTGTTCTGCTGTGTGTAACAATCTAAAGGAAACAACTGCCAATTTAGCTGACGACATCTCTCATGTTTTGTATTGAGCATCAATGGTCAATCAAACAAAATCGCACAGCCCTTGTCTTCACGGGACGTTTTCATGAGATTTTTCCTAGGTAAAAATCTCACTTGAGAGATTCAGTACCTATCCTAATTCTGGTTAAATACTTGATTTTTACCAATTTACCCTCTTCCGCAAACTTGTGGCAGGAGTATGAAAGCCTCATCCTATGAAGACATTACTTAACTGCAAAAAATCCCTGAAGTTTTATTCCTCATCTTGACCCTGGTACAAATCTCATGAAAGCACCCTGCAGAGACAAGACCTAAGAATCTTCACATTATGGTCCTTTTGCCAATGCGTTGTCATGTGGTGATGTTAAAACTGAATAGCAATTTCCATGCTTTCATGTCATCTTTTTGATAATTTTCATTTTTCAGGGATAAAAACTATTTTTATCACTTCAAATTGTTGCAGATAATTTTTTGTACTAAGATATAATGTAACAAAGGAATGATGTACTTTTGCTACACATCTTAAAAAAATTTGCAAGGAGGAACATTTCTCACTTCTCAAATCAGCACACATATTTATTTAGTTTCACCCTAGAAGTATCGAATATATTTACTGACCTTACTTTGGTTTTTTTCTTAACAGATTCCGATAACATTACATAAAGACACTGAAATAGATAGCGGTGGTAAAGAAGTAATGAAGTGTGGGTTCAAAATCGGAGGAGGGATTGACCAGGATTTTAGAAAAAGCCCTCAAGGATACACCGACAATGTAAGTCCTTTAATTTGCTGACACTAAGAATAAAATATTATCTCAGTGTACTTGGTTGTGAATCATGAGAAGAAGTGTTGTTAAATGCATTTCTAATTTTAATGAAATTTTTATTTTCTGAATCATTAGTGACCCATTTAAATGACTTTTAGTGGCTCAACTTAATGGGCTAACTTCCTAAGTATTTCTCAAACCCTCTCAGCTAAATACTTAACTGATGGGATGAAGTCAAAGCAGTCCCTCATTTTCATCTCTGCAATTTACTTAAAATACATTCTACTTTTCTGTAATGCTTGTTGTTTTTGGGCCTGACAATCAAATGCAAAAATTCACTAAAATTTCAAAAATTGGACAGCATTTAATGAACCAGGCTTTCCTTTGTTCTTTCTAAGCTCTAGTATTAGGAAGTTTCCCCTCTGAAAGTTTGAATCCTCCCCCCCCCCTCTCTCTCTCTTTTAAATTTTTCATTGGATGCAGATAGCAGCAGTTGAAACAATCTTAACATTAAGCTGAATATGTATCTCTTTTAATCTAACTTTAATTGTTTTTCCTTCATTTTAGGGTATCTATGTCACAGAAGTGCATGAAGGTAGTCCAGCATCAAAATCTGGTTTAAGGAAGCATGATAAAATACTACAGGTGAGGTCCTAGTCTTTCACTTTCTCGATAAGGGTCACTTTAAACCTCTCTATTTCTATTTTTTTGTATTCGTAAGATATTTTTAAGATGAACTAATGAGTTTCAGTGTACTAACCATTTGGTGGATGTGATATAAATGAATCGCTAAAGAGTCCGATGATTCTCACAAGGGTGGCTGAACAACTAGCACAATGACATTAAAGGCATCGTGTTCAAAAGAGCAACCAATCCTGTCTCATTCTCAGATTTTCCTTTTATTGATATGCCATAAGACAGCTGCCACTAAACCAAAAATAAAGATAATTTTAGCCTTACCTACTAGATGAGGTTAAAATTGTCTCTTTTTTCAATATTTATTGCACCTTGCTATTTGCAATAATGTTCAATTAAACCAAAGGGACTGCTCAGATGCAACTTGAATAATGTTCCTATCTCAACATCGACGTAAAATTCTTTTCAACCTAAAGGTATTATTTGAAGTATTTCTGATACAATTAAAGAATAACATTGGCATTCAGACCTCGCACCAAAGGTTAAGTTAAAATTGAAGTTATATCCTCTTTTTTTTCAGTGCAATGGGTATGATTTTACAATGGTAACACACAAGAAAGCAGTAGATTACATCAAGAAACCAGCGGTCCTGAATCTTCTAGTCGCAAGAAAAGGAGTTACGTCAACATGATTTTAAAATAAATATGTACGTGTTAATGTAAGTCCGTTTTCAAGTTTCAGTTGTTATTCATACTTACCATCATTTGGAAAACCTCCTCAGGCAAACGAATGCTTCTCTCCCCGAAGAACCGTATTTCTCATTAGTATGTCTACTTTTTTCCGGAAAATTAAATAACCTCAAACCAAGTTAATTCCTATATCTTTCAAATTTGTCAGTTTTAGCACAGGGAAATCAAACCTGTCACAACTTTATGTTACAATTTATTCATCTCAAACTTAGGTCAGTTAACAAAAAAAGCTGTAGGTAGTAAAATTATTATCTTCGAGCCTCAAGCTGAAGCTGAAAAAGTGAATCAAGCCAATTTTCTAGGATTAAAAATATTGTGTGCTCCAAAGTTTGGCACCATGCCAATTGTCTGTTTAGTAAGCCTGTGAGGAAAATATCTACTCTTTTTTCTCCTGTCTCAGAGTACTTTTCAGACAATAGTTAATTATTTAATTTATCCGACTCATTATTTTTGTTCCTCTATTTAAGGAGTGTCAGGATGAAACTGACCGTTTTTTAAATTGTTCTTTCTTGCAACAAGTTCTTTAATTGTATGTATTTTGAAGTCATGCCTCTTGTCTCTATCATAGCTTTTCAGGTGCATGTAATCAGTATTGTTTTATTGAGGTTCAATTACTCAGCATAATTGTTAAAAAACTGCTAATGGCTGCTGTTTCTGATTTTGAGAAAATCGCCAAAAGTTGTACAAGCCTTTTAATTTTGAGAATGAATTGTGCTTAAAAGCTAAGCTCCAAACCTATTACCACACCTCAAATCCCTATAAAACCTCAAATCTCCTGGAGTTTTAGACACCAAAAATCTCACATGATGAAAAAATGAACACCAGCGGTTTTCGCACAAGTTGATTCTGAGGGTCCGTTGAGTGTCATATTGTGATCATTTTTTGAGGCTTCTTTTTCTTGCCAGGCTTTCTACCTGGAAAAATTGTTAAAGAAACGAGGAGAAATTTCTGTTATGTTTTTCCTTTTATTTTAATTTGATCAACCATTCCAATTTTTTATTTTATTTTAAAGCTTCATACTGAACCATCTTTTTCAAGCATTATTAACCCCTAACTGTTTTTTTTTTTACTAATATAGACTTGTTTTCTGAAAGTGTTGTGGTGAAGTGATTTAGCTGCAAATTTTGTATTTGATAACACAAGCAAATCCATCGTGTCTCCAGGTCTAAATAAAATATCAGCCCAATTCATTTTAATTTTCCTCTCCTTTCTAAAGGAGCAAAGTTCAAACAATATAATAAGGTTCCTACCCACTGAAACAGTCGATTGCCTTTAATACTTATGAACTGACCATTAATTTGCAACAATTTACCTCACAACCCGTAGGACCTATAATATTAGTAAATGAACACAAACTCTTTTTTAATTGTTAGATTTATTCTTTCAACATTTAATGTCAACTCTATCTCAATCCTTGTTGACCACATTTCTTTTAATATCCGTTTTTTGTCAAGTCCTTTTCACCTAGTACATTAACTACTCATGTCAGTGGAAATTCATAATCTTGTAATCTAGGCTCTTATGTAACATAAATTTTTGAAAAAAAGCTAGTTTAATTGAAAATACTGAAGTTTCAAGGTAATTTTACTTTAGTCATGTGCCATAATTGCTATGCAGTAATGCTGATCAATACTTAGTTCTAATTTGAACTACATATTTCCAATCAGGTAATACCCATTTTTATGACCGGTCAAAGGGAGAATGTTGTAACAATATATACTGATCACACAGCTGTCTAAATATGCCCTACCTATGACTGATGTGCATTTTGCCAAGAAAAGAATAGTGAAGTTGAATCGGTTAATACTGTCCAAAAACCTGCACATCTACTCTCTTATAAGCGAATCTTACAAGCGAAAATGCAATATTCAAATGTTTTGTAGGTACGTATGCATTCTGAAAAAATTCAAGAGTTATCAGGACACATATTTGCTGTTTTGTCAAATCAACCTGTTCATTACATTCAACTTCTTTGTATCAGCTAAAATATACACCAAAATCACAGTTGATACTCATTGTGGTATCTGATTGAACGGCACTTTCTCAGGATTAAATTACTGTCAACACTAGCCAAAATGTTTTCAAACAAGACTTTGGTTTGAAACACAGCTTCATTATTTGCATACTTAACTCCTTCTGAATGGACCTTTTCTGATGTAGAAATATAATCATCAGAAGGAGATAATAATATAAGTACCAGACCATGAGTAACCGTCTTATTGGTAAAATTCCTCTTTCCCCGATTAGCTTGACTTGCTGTCCAAAACAACTCAGGAATACAAATATTTATGCCAATTGGAAAGTGAGAGAATCGACAATAATTTTCTCATATCAAATTTTCAGTGTTTTTTGTTCATGATGAAACGGCAAGTCATGTATTTATGGAGTAACAAGCTGGAAATAGTTTGGAAGAAAGTTTTTTTTACAGAATTATGCCAATTTAGGTATTCTGCTCTTGCTTCAACGCACGTATTTTGTTCCCATGTAATGTTCGAGAAAAGCATTGCTTCTGTATTTTCTGTGGCATTTATACTTGTATCATTCCTGTTTTTGTCCCTTTTTATCCATACCTGTGTGTGTTTTTTGCCCCCATGTCCTTAAAAAATAAGTCTATATCATTATCAATTCCTCAGATCATTGCCTGTGTTAAAATAAATTAACACGGTATCTGAGAAAGTTATTCTAACCTGCTTCTTTTAATATTTTGTTGGCTGAGAAGTATACCTACTATCTGTTTGGTGGAAATAGTGTTTTTAAGATAGTGAACTTCTGAGTCGGCAACACTTTTTATCTACAAAATTTTTAAAAAGGCTGACTTTTAATGTTTTCAAATTTTTTTTAATATCATTCGCATCATTTAATCCACTGATGCAATAACTGATCTTGTTGGAAGGATGCATCCACAATATCGGTGCATGCTGAAGTTGGGTAAAAGAGAACACAAAGTGGAATTCAGATATTACCCAGAGAATTATATCCAGAGTCAAACAGTGTGTGGCCCTGTTCACTGTTAATGTGCTCTGCCAACTTAATCAAACTGAATGGAAATATCTCAATAGTGTACTGTGAGTCCTCCTAAATACATCACAGTTGTATGAACTCTTTTCATGTGGGTGGTTTTATTTCTCAGTCAACAACTGCAATTGTTATATCTTCTCAGTGTTTAAATTTATTTTCTACTTTTATATGTATTTACCTTTTTACTTAGTTGTTTAATAAATTTAATGACCAAATACAGAATCGTTTATAATTTATTATTATAGTTATTCTTGGTTTGTCTAAGAAACATCTAAATTTGAAATCCATTACGGAATTTATCTTTCTGTACATGATATTTTCCTTCAGTGTGAACAGGGGAAGTTTCTGTTCCACGTAAACTCTGGTACTAATGTAAAGAAAGATTTTCAGCTTTATGCTGAATTTTAACGCACGTTGGCCAAAAAAAAAAAAAAAAAAAAAAAAAAAAAAAAAAAAAAAAAAAAAAACTCCAATATACTAAAATGAAAATGTTGATATCTTGGTTAGAAGTTGATTTCAGTGATAATTGATGCAAGAATCGTATTCTACCTGAAATTCTGGTCATGAAACACATATCAGATTTTTTAAATTTGTACCTTGTCTTGGTCCTACCTTTGGTCTATTTGAGAGTTATAATTACATCTAAGATTGCTTTTTAAGCAAAAAGAGAATAATGTCTTTCATCTCTGACTTGGTGTTTCTTTTTTTTGCGGAAAAAAAAAAAAAAAAAAAAACTTGAAAATTGGAGTGAAGGTAGGACCTTTACTCTTATTTTCCCCGATAAAATGTAACACACAACAAAATAAGAACATTTTAGTCAATTAAAAAACAATTTAATAATAAAATCATTCATGTACCACTGTATCAATGCCAGCACAATCAAAAAAGAAAAAAATTCTGTAGGTTGAGCTACTTTGCGCAACAAAACTTAATATTCTCATGCTAAGCATAATGAAAGAACCCAAGATCTCGCATGAAAATATATGCATTTTTCCTGACTGAAAGTTAAGGAAAAAAAATCATATCAATCTAACCATTTAATTTACCACTGCGATTATACGGAAACTTTGGGTGTGTTGTCCCAGCTTGCCTGGCTTGAAAATATGTATCAATATTGGTGTATAGACATGCGGCCTCTGCGGGTGGGGTGCCAAGACCTTCTGTTGCTGGTAAAGTGGGATCTTCTCTGGCATCGTTATTTTTCGATTTGCGTAAATTGAGCTTCAATTCTGGTTCTTCTATCTTTTTACTTTCAGCAACTGCTTCTCTAAGCAAGAGTTCCTGAAACAAAGCAACAGCTCAGATCGATCAAACTTTCATTACCTCATGATCAAATGGTATTACGAATGAAGGAGTCAGATCACATTTTTGTAAACAAAAAGCATGACACTTTTGCTTACTTGGAGGCTTTATCACACAAGAACTTTAAACTTGGTTTGCAAGGCAAAACAGAACTTTACGCAGCAAACTAGCCTGATTGTTGTCTAATATCCTTTGAATATTTTACCAAGGCTGAACATTTTCGTGGAGTATTTTGTTCAGATTTCCCAAAAGCAATATTCTGCAAAAAAATAATCACTGTAAATGGTCAATGTATTTGCCAAAGACATTCCTTAAATATTCTTTGTAGGTATGTGACAAGACATTCATTAGCACCGCATTTGTGAGAAAGATATTGCTAATCACTGCAAAAGTTTTAGAATTTAATTGGCTTGTTTGGTGTTTGATAATTGTATTCATTTATTCATTTTTTTCCAATTTATTTTTAATTGAATACGGCAACCTTGAAACAAATATAATTAATTGTTGATGATTGACTCTTTCATACTTAAGTGCTCATGAGGTGTTTCATATGTAGGTGTGAAAGGAAAAATCAATGCAACTATAATTGTGCAGAAAGGTTCCAAAAAACTATTTGGCAGATTTTATCGTCAGGGTGGAATGGAAAGACAATCATTTGGCATTTTCCAGTAATTTGAGATTAGGGACAGGTTGTTTTGGTATTCTTTGTACTAGACTTGGTTTTGTATCTTGGTACCTATTGGATACTATTCAATATGTACACAGGTGAGTCATGTAGGATTTGCTGAGAATGAATGGCAGAAATGCTTGATGGGTATTTTTTTTGCTACACCCATTAGGTGCAAGACTTAGATTTATTGCAGTTTTGTTTTTACTTTTACAGTTCGACCTCAGTTATTTTGTTATGGTAAAAACTTAACTTTTCCATTCCAAGGCTGCAAGAGACTACGTGGCGTCTCTATGAAGAGTACACAATACTTCCAATTGAACTAGGTCCCTAGAGGACCTAGATACCTGGAAGAACAAATCTTACCTTCAACAAAGGTGGCACACAGCGCTTGTTTGGGACTACGTTTGGTGTTTTCCTCTTAACTTTTGCCAATTCATAGAGACGATCCTCGTCTTCTTTGGGTACTAACTGAAAGTCATGCTTTCTGGTTACACGCATAATCTGAACAAGATCTGGGTATCTGTTGCCCCGAAAAACATTTTCAGCCCACACTGCTACTTTTCTCGGCTCATCTTCAGGCTGGAAAAAAACAATGAAATGATACATTTAGGACTTTCTGAGTACATGACAGGATTTACATAAAAGAGTCAGGTAAATACATATGTTCAGGTATTACCTATATTCAGGGACTAGTTTTGATACCTAAAATTTTAAAGAAGAGCTCACTGAGTACATGCAAGATTTTTGTAATGGGAATCCTCCTAGAAATGAAACCCAGCTAGTCACTTTTGACTGAGAAAATTAAAAATGCATCAAAAGCATAAAACCTGAATACAGCTGAAAATGTTAAACTTTTTAGGTGAGGAAGAAAACGTAGAAATTCAATCAATTCTGCTGCTACTTAGTTTTAAATGTATTGTATGTAATTTTTACAAGGTGTTGTGGTTAGTGAATGAAAACAAAACTGAGTTTTCTATATTATCAATACCTTTATATTTAGATTTCCTTGATGCATTCTGGCATTGCGCCATCATCATGGTGTAGGTACATATACATTGAGTTTTGATTAAGGTGATTCGTCAAGCTCAAAAGAAGTGGTCTAACTAGCATGCGATATATCGCATCTTTCAGGTAAAAAATCTCGGCATATTATAAATTTTACGCAAACCAAAGGACGATTGCCCCTGGGCATGAGCCTAAAGAATCATTTTAAGCCCAAAAATTGGCAAAATTCAGAGAAATGAAAGCAGAGTAGGTAGTGTTGGAAAAAAACCTGGCATTCGATACAGAAATTGATAACTGAATCGAATGAGAGGTTTTTTTCCAAGCACTATTCTGCTTGTATTTCTCTGAAGTTTGCCGATTTTTGGGTTAAGAATAATTTTTTAGGCTCATGCGCAGGGGCTACATCCTTTTATTGCTAAAAATTCAAAATTTGTAGTGATTTTTTACCTAATCGTTGCAATATATCACATGCCAGTTCGAGCACATCACTTGAGCTTGACAAGTCACCTTAGTATCTTCTACATCAAAGTAAAACTACCTTTGGTTACGGAATGAACATTTCTACTTCTTTTGCCACAGCTAAGTAATTCAGAATTAAAATATACTTTACCTCGTGAAACTGTGGGAATACTCGAGCTATCCTAAGAAAACATGGTTCTTCATAACGCTGTTGAGAACCTCTGATTATCAATCTGCCGACTCCATAGTCCTTTAAATTACCCAGAAGTTGCCACAGTGTCTTACCGACATGTGTCGTTTTACGTCCAATGTAGATGTACGGCATTTTTAGTGTTCGCCAAAAAGTAGATTCAGAGGTGTACTTATCACAGGGCACTAGAATGTGCAGTCACACTGACAAACAAATTCAAGTTGTCTCTCTACATTATGAATTCACTTTAAAAGAAAGAGAGAGTAGATAAATTCGATTGTAATGATATACAAACGGACACAGTGAGCGAGGACTTGAGGGTGGACCAAATTTATGTAATGGAGAGCTAAAGGACGACTGTTGTTGTTATTAAGGTTCAAAAGATTTCCAAAACCTATCACAAGATAATTGTTATAAGAAGTTCAAGAAAACTGTAGACACAGGCAGGAATGAACTAATGAAACCTTTGCAAAGCCCGAAATGGTCTGATAGGACTAGGAGGCAACCTGCTATCTGCACATTGGTTAAAGTAAACATTGAAGTTAGGTTATGTTCTTGTATATAATAATTCATAATAATTATTGCATTGCAGTGGCAGTATGTAGTTAGTTGCAGGGTTGAAAGATATCAGTGATACAGTGTGACTTCAATTCAAATGTTAGTATATTTCAATAAATGTTTTTAGAGTTTAGACATAATTTTCCATCACTAAAGCCAATGTTTCGTGTTTAACAAGTGTATTAACAAGTTATATCTGTGTGTTGATTTGCAACGCTCCGCCTAACTTGCTTTTGAGTCTCCTTTTAACTCAGTTAGTTCTGTTGTACGATTAATATCCAACCATTTATTATTTCATTTGAACCACATTGACTAATTTTAGTCAGTTTACTCCAATTTGCCGTTTGGAGTCACAGAATATAGATGAATAACACCATTTTCAAGATCCCTCTCGGAGACTGCAGGCCGATTATTTAAAATACTTAGATGATAAGTTATTGAAAGACAATTTATTGCAAGGTTGAAATAGGGCCGTCTTGTCCTGTCGTATCAACATACATTCGCTAATCTTGGCAATGATTAGCCAACAGCTCTGTAGACGTGATACAATATACTGTCTCCGAGCTATTCGACAAGCTCAGAAATTGAAAAAAGGGTACAACAAATTTGCTCGTGAGTTCATTAGACTTACCTCTTCTCTCCTCATAATTTACAAGTTATTTGTTCGGTAACTATAAAAGGGTTTTCTTCACTGCGAGCACTCCAAATAATAATAGGTAGACACTTTTAAGACAAGTTACGTAGAGCCATGCACTTTTGCTAGGTCTCAAAGTTTTTTTAGGACGCTATAATAAAAGAGCATTACTAACCATGTGCATAAGCATGAATGAATTATCAATCCTGGAGTGAAATGATCTATCTGCATTAGAGTTACTTGTCCAATGAGTCAACGTACCTCTAGAGTGTCCTAGAAGATCCGCTTAATATTTCTAGTTGGGAAGTAACAATTCATAGTTTTACATTCCATCTCATTATTACCTTTACATAATGCTCTACTGCTGATTCTTTCATAAACATGAAGCGTGGCTTCCTTTTTTTTGCTGTGTTTTTCTCTCATTCTTTTTGATTTTTTTGTTTAGGTCTCTCTAGCTGTCCCAATATGAGGAGATTAATTTTCACTCATAGCCTCAATGTAATAAATATCAGGGTCCTCAAATAAATTCATTGAGCTTTGTCAAAGAAAATTCAGCAATGGATCTAATGAAGAATGACATTCTCACTGAAAACAGATATCTAGCTCAGGATCTCAATCACCGAGTTTATGAACGGTTTGTTCCATACCTGTTTCTGCTTTCTCCATTCCGATTCTCATATTAAGTATGTCAAAAAAGAATTTTTCTCCTTGTAAAAGGAGCCTGTCATGGTGTTTGTAATGTTATGAATTAGAATTTTTGGGTCTTGTGTAGAAGACACCCACCTGAGATTTTCAACTTCGACTTTCAATAAACTGTAATTAAACTCGATTACCTGAACCCCCTCCTCGCCTCTACCATCTGCACCGATGTGTCTGCACCCCACTCCTTCACCATATCCCTGAGTCTCTCATTTCTCTTTCCCATTGTATCCCTACTCCTCACTGCCAACTCTTTTTAGCACTCCAAAATATTAATCGCTCTGGGAAATCCACAGCTTTTTCATAAAATCTAGGTACCACTAAATGGACTTCATTTTGCAATTTGGAACTACTATTTCTGACTTAGTTTAGATACATCGTATGTACCTTTAGTTTCCCTATACATGTAAGTGTTTTTACAGATAAGGCAGAAATTATGGTTCTTAATCCGAAAAGAGGGGAGGTTGCAGGTCAACTATTGCAATAATTGAAGTCGAAAATTAAAAATCGAAAGCATTTTCTACACAAGAGCCGAAATGATATACTTTCACCATCTGTATGACCTACTTACATGAAATTTTGACAAAATACACTGACTTGAAGGTTGTCCAATTTAATGAACTTAATAAAAAAAAAACACAATGAATAATATATACTTATAATATATTTAATATTAATATTTAGACCTGCTTCCCCAATCACATGGCTCGGAAGTCTCTGATCTTTCTTTCAAATGTAACTGGGCTCATTATAAAGAAACAGGTAGTCTCTGAAATGCTCGCACTGACTATTGAAGAATTTTTTTTAAAAAAAATTTAATTGAGTAGCTATAGCGGCCAGCCCACACACAAACTGGGGCTCTCAAACTGGCTTTAATTCTTCAATTTCTAAGTCATTTCTGCACGAAATTCCTTGAAAATCTCAAGATCTGGTCTGTGCTGAGTCCGAAACACATCGGTTGCCTTCTAAGATCGTCGGGCCGACGATCTTTGAAAGGCAACAGTCGACAATTCTATCGATGAGCCTCTTAGAAGACCCTAGTTCGTGCAAGGCTAGACGCTTAAATCTTCTTAACCTAGCAGCCCCATTCCTTGATAGTGACTGGATGAAAGCATTATGGAAGGACTCTTCTCTTTATTTATTTCATTTTTTTTTTATTCTCGCTCAAAGTTTGTCTGTAAATGAATAATTCTTGAGCTTTATATATTTTGTCATTGTTTCAGCATACCTGAAAAATCAGACTTTGACTTTGCTGTTCCAACTCCACATGTAAGTATTCACTGCATCTCATGATTTATAATAGTAGTAAATGATATGCAGTGCTGTAATTGTTTCAAATTTCAAAATTATGGATATAGCTTTTATCTGATTACTTGAAGCTGTTTCAGAATGGAAACAGGAGGGAAGATAAGTGAAATAGTTAATAGTAAGAAAAGCAGTTAAGCATCGCAAGCCTCAAATGATCAAAAAATTATACTAAATGAAATTTCCGATCAAACAAAGTAATCAAACTGCATTTTGCAATTATGATGTTTTAACCAATAAGTTGGAAATTGTAGTTCCTGATTGCAAAATGAGTCCAATTAACTGATGGCAAGATTGAGACACACAGTCTCTTTTAGACACATCAATAGTAGGCTACATTTTGTAATTCAAAACTACAATTTCTGGCTTAGTTAAGAAACGACGTATGTATCATTAGTCTTCCTATGAACGTAAATGTTTCTACGGGTGAACCAGAAATTGTAGTCCCTGATTGCAAAATACAGTCCACCAGGCAGGATAAGCCTGACTTCACCACATGTTGCCTGACTACCTCCTGTCATTTACTTTTTAATTAGAAAACCGAGCGACATATTACCTTTAAACCTTGTGTGAGTATATTTGTTATACTTTTAGGAAAATTCACAAAAAGTTTACAGGTAATTGGTTCTCTAGTTTTTTGTGTGAATAAGCAAATAAAACATGGGAAACATCAAGCAATATGAACTAGAGTTACACAGCATTTTTCGATTAGGGACTACAATATCTGGTTCAGTTTAGGAACAATGTATGCACCATTATCTTCCTAATGCACAGTAGTGTTTTTACACGTGAGCCAAAAATTTGAGTTCCTATTTGCAAAATGAAGTCCAGTTGGGCTGATTCGTGTTAAATGTGTCACGCAAAGTACAGCCATACTGTTTTATCCAAAAAAATGAGAAAAATATCAATCAGATTTATTTGAGAAAAAAATTCTAGTGAAATTCATTCAACTGATCTCCCAAATTATGTCCATGATTTAAGAGAAGGTTGAGTTTCTATATTTAAAACACTGAAGTAACAAAGTGAAGTTTTTAAAAGTTCATCAAGTAAAATAACGATAAGATTTTCTTGAATTATAATAACTCTCTTTTACGTTGCAGGTGAACCATGTAGACACATTAAATGTGTTGAATCTCGAAACCCTTTCAAAAATGATCGGACCAGATGCATCCCAAGTCGCAGCCTCATTTCCTCTTCTACCCAGGTCCAATCACTCTTTCCTGGAAAACCGTAACAATCGTAATGCTTTTTTAGATAACCGCAATTTCTTACGCCTCACTTTTTCAAATAGCCGAAACGTTAATCACTCCTTTGCTGAAAATCAAACTGAAAATCATCCATTTTCTGAAAATCGGAATGGAAGTATTACTTTCTCCGAAAATCGCAGTGAAAGTCAGCCATTCTCCGATCAAAACGCAGCATTTTCTGACAGCCAAAACTGTAGCTCATCATTTTCTGATGATCAAAGTCAAAGCTCTCCTTTTCCAAGTAGTTCAAATGGAAACTCCCAATTCAGAGAAAGACAAAATGAAGCATCATCTCTAAATAGTTACTCTAACCTTGTGCCTTCACCTCAGTCTGAGCTCCATGAGAGAGGATCGCAACCAGAATTTGATGGTTTTAAAAATGGCAGCACCGACCACTCAAATGTCTGTAGTATTGATCCTGAAGTTGTTTACTCTGATGATGACGAGCCATCCAACCAATCTCTTTATTCTCATTCTTTGCCTACTTGCTCTGAGCTGCCACCACACTCTCATCCACATTGTATTACCAGTTTAGAAAGTACTCATGAAGACTCAGCTGAATTTCAGTGTAAAATTTGTAAAAAAGTCCTTGCTAATAAGCATAATCTAAAAATGCATTTTATGACCCATTCGGGAGAAAATCGTGCCAAATTATTTTGCCCGACCTGTGGGAAAGGTTTCATCAAACCGTCTGATCTGCGAAGACATAAAGTGATCCATACTGGAGAGCGCCCATACGCATGTCAAGAATGCGATATGGCTTTCCATGACCCGTCCACATTAAAGCAACACTCTCGGACTCATTCAGGTGTCAAGCCTTATTCGTGTGGTGAATGTGGACGCAGTTTTGCATCCAACTATTCTCTACAGCGGCACATGTTTGTTCATGCGGATAAAGCCCCTTTTACATGTACTGAATGTGGTGTTGCAGTCGCGACAAAGTATGATCTCAAAATACATCACATGAAACACAACGGAAAGTTGCCGTACCCATGTTCGATCTGTAACAAAGGATTTAGTAAGCCATCTGATCTCAATCGACATAGTGTCATCCACACTGGAGAGCGACCTTATCAGTGTGAGGTTTGTAAAATGAGCTTCACCAACTCCAGTAATCTTAGGATGCACGTTCTAACTCACTCCAAAATAAAACCACACCCATGTATCACTTGCAATAAATCTTTTAGGAGGCCGTCTGAGCTCGAGAGGCATTTGCTCACTCATAGTGGAGAAAGACCATATGTATGTTCAATCTGCAATACTGCTTTTACCACAAGTTACAACCTAAAAGTTCATACTATGAAACATTCTGGAGGGTTACCCTACCCATGTCCCTCGTGTGATAAGGCTTTCAGTAAACCATCTGAATTACAGCGACACAGTTTTGTTCATTCAGGCGAAAAACCATTCTCTTGTTCACAATGTGATTTAAGTTTTACAAATTCCAGTAATTTACGCACTCATACTCTAACTCATACGGGTAAACGGCCATTTTCTTGCTCAGTTTGTGATAAAGCCTTTACACGACCTTCAGATGTCAAACGACATATGTTGACTCACACCGGTGCTCGACCCTTTGCTTGTAACCTCTGTGGTTTAGCTTTTGCAGATTCTTCCAATTTGAAAAAGCACACTTTAATTCATTTTCGATTGGATCCCTTGGCTTTGGGTGAGCAATTCAAGAATTCAAGCGAGAAAGAGAACCCAGTGAATAAGCCTTTATTTAAATGTTTTCTTTGTTATGTCGAATTTCAGTCATCTCATGACCTAGAACTTCATTCTTTAACACATTCTGTAGATCAATCATTTTCAGAAAGTCCTCCAGTAAATGCATCTAAACAGGGACAGAACCTGTACGCTCTTCAAGATAGTAAACAGCGCTGTGCAGACAATGTAAAGCAATACTCATGTCCATCATGTGGAATGCAATTTGCTCATGCCTTGCATTTACAAGAGCATGTTGTAGTTCACTCAAACGAGCCTTCATTTCAATGTGAAATTTGTGAAAAAACGTTTATTCAGGAATCATTCTTGAAGAATCATCTTTTAACTCACACAGAGTCGAGACCTTTCAGGTGTCCAGTTTGTTCGAAAAGTTTTAAAAGCTCCTCTCACCTAAAAAATCACGTAGCGATACACTCTGGTGTAAAACCTTTCATTTGCACAGTCTGTAACAAATCATTTTTGAAACATGCATCTCTCCGACGACACTTTTTAACTCATGAAAGAATGAATCCAGTCGCTTGTAATCTTTGTGGCAAAACATTTTTAAACCAAGAATACTTGAAGAAACATAGTATTATCCATGTTAACAAACCACAGTTAAATGTTTGATGACTTAAGAAGACTTAGATGACTGTAAGAATGGAGATGTTGCATGTGTGAGGAGTATTCTTATGTAAAAGTTCGCAAGAAACACGATAGTCCCACTGGTTTTCTCTGAAATTAACTCCCAAGCTCAAAAAAAAGCTCTCAAGTCGAGGCCAAAATGGAGATGACATCCCACGCTATCCTGAGAGTACACCTTTACATCAAGACGAACTTTCCATGTAAAGATAGGGAGCAAATACATTAGCAGTGATGCCGTGTTTTCAGTTTTAGAGTCTCCAAATAAAGTGGCAGCCCTGTCAATGCATTTGCTCCCTATCTTTGCACGAAAAGTTTGTTTTAATGTAGAAGTGGACACTCAGGATAGTTTGGGATATCCCCTCCATTTTGGCCTCAACTTGAGAGCTTTTTTTGAGCTTGGGAGATGACTTCAGAGAAAACCAGTGGCACCATCGTGTTTCTCGCGAACTTTTACATAGGAATTAACAGTCAAATTGCAAATTCCTCACACATGCAACATCTCCATTCAAGGTCTCTATCACATAGCAGATGAAATAAGTCATCATTTTTCATCTTGATGAAATCGCACATTTTTTTAATCACTGAAAGTTTGAAAATTTCTAGTTGTTTTAAATTTTTATTGGATGAGTTTTTTGTTGTATTTGCATATTTTGTTACACAAATATTTTTGGAACTATCCCATTTTAGCTGTAGTACATTTTTTATTTGATCTACTCATTTGTTTTGAACTCCAAAAAGTTAGTTAAATTTGGTTCAGATGATTAAAATAATCTTGTTACTGAGTCACCATGATTCACAAGTTAGGTGCCAAAGTCTCGATTTTTCATCTTATGCTAAGCACTGCACAAGTAAGTGACAGCAAGCACTGATTATTTGGCTGTGATAGCTCATTTAGAAACGAGACTATCTTGACTTTTGACTTGTTTTGTTCACTTTTTCATGGGAAACTTAGTCAGGGAAGGCACCAAAAATAGTGCTTTTATATGCATCTTCCAATTTTCTATGAAATGCCCATCTTCACAAGGTAATTTTCCTTTTGAAAATTCTCTTTCAGCCACTCCCTTACGTCACTTTCAATGCTTCGTTTTAAGAAATAGAATCCCTCAATTTTAGCTGAGGCTCTGGATAGACATAGGTGGTTTTAACATTGTCAAAATTAGAAATTTGAAACTCAAAAATCTGGAAGTGGGGAACTGCAGCAAAGGACCTCAGGAAAACTTACGCAGTAGCACAAAAAATTATTTCTTGGGCTTTTTTTTTAAAAAAACGAAAAAATGAAAAAAGTGTTTTTGCACTTCGAATTATTTTCGTTTAACTGCATATGTTTTCCTCAGGTATTTTAGTTTAAGATTATACAGGGTTCCCAGCCAATTTTGGAAAAAAAAATCCCTGACTTTCCCAGGTTTTCCAGGCCAAAATGAAAATTTTTCCAGGCCTTTTTCCGCGGAAAACTCAAATAGTTTACCTGAAAAGAGACAGCGCGCATTTTTCAATTTTCGTAAAAACTCCTCTATTTTCATCAATTTTTTATCTGGTTTAGCTTTTTTTTTTTTAATAAGAACCAGACTAGGATAGTATCATAACACGAATGAAATCACAAAAAAGGTAAAATATGTTGGAAAAAAAAAAAATTGGCGAAATATAAACGCCTTCTGAAACGATGCATGCATCGATGAAAGCAAATGATTTTTCAATTTGTTTCATTTACTCACAGTCCCGATACACAGAGTAGCTCCAATTCGTTCAGAGTTCGAGTTGGTGGAAAATTTAAAATACAACGAAGGAATTGCAATCTCAATTTTATTTCTTTTATTTTTATTTGTTTATTCATTAATTTTTTTTCTCAGTACTTGAAAAAATTCCAGACTCTTTGAGCAGAAGTCCCTGATTTTTCCAGGTTTTCCAGGCCAATTTTTTCCCCCTGACTTTTCCAGATCGCTGGGAACCCTGTTATATGATTTGCTCATTTTTCCGGATGGATGATCAATTACCTGCGTTGATTTTTTCAAAATCTAGAAAAAACTGCAACACCGGAATGAAAAAATCGGCGCAGGTAATTAATTATTTTACTTTAGTTTCTTGCTTTCGGGCTTGAGGGTTTCAGGTTTCTCATCTGGGCGGCACTGAAACCACCTAAAGAAGTGTACCTACTTAACTTTAAGACCCCTATGAAACGTAGTCAAGCTTCTTTTGCTGAATCTTAGGGTCGTTAATTTTTTAAAGCATTGTCTTTGTGCCTAGTACCTGTCAAGTTTTAATTTAATTCCTCATTTAGAGAAACAAATATATTGGTCTAAATATACCTACATAGAAAAATGGAAAAATAGGGATGGTTTTTATCGTTGTTTTGCATCTCTCATCGGGCCTAGGTAACTGTCTTCTTCTCAATTTAAACATCGCTATAATTTTTACTTGATCTCTGGAAAAGAAATGAACTTGTTGTAAAATTTTGTAATGATTGAAAATTTTAATTTATTATACTCTTTTTAATTTAATTCAATCAAGTTTTTCTTTTCCTGTCATCCCATCGCAGACAATTCCATAATAATAACTTTAATATGTTATTAATTCATGAAAATTTGATCAAGAAATCTGTGAAATTTACATACATCTTACAACAGAATTTATCAATGCTTGCAATTATACTTGCTTGTTAATCTTTGAAATTATCTGTACATCTGAATGGTGGCAAAATGCCGAACAAGGGTCTGTGGCACTGCCTAAACATCTTGATACGCATGCAGTTATCCATTAATTTGTGCGTTATACATATTGAAGTGAGTCTACTCCAGAACCCTTGCAATTTTTATGCATTATGAAAAGAAATTTGACTTCTTTTTAGTGACTGGCCTCTGAAGGGTTGAGATAGAGATAAGGTGAGAACATTATAGTCAACAATATAAATTTATTTTTTAATTACATAATAAAAATAACAAAATAAGAAAAATGATAAATTATTTCAAGCATAAATTAATACTTATGAGTTCTAAAAAATTTACTTAACAAGTACAAGTAAGAAATTGGAGACAAGGAAATTACTGAAAAATCAAATATTGCTTTATGCTCAAAACTAGGATGATGTTATGTACGCATTATCAGTCGAAAAAGTACGTTGAATCTTCCAAATCTCCTTTTTAAAGTAAGATTTCTAGTTGAAAAATGTCAGTCAAAATACATGAGATAAGCTTGAGGAGAGCTATTCCAAGCGATACACAGGACTGATTTTCTTTCTCATTAAAAATATTGAAGAAATGACTTAAGGACAAAATGTAAGAAATTCTAGAAATCGATCACAACGTTTACATGATATACACAAAGAAGGCATCTTCTAAGTATGATTGTCTAATTGTTAGAAACCTAATGTGTGTCTGGATCTATGAAAATAGACCTAGTATTTTCTGCACATTTTTGGTGAAAATATTGGCACCATGACAAGAAGAAAATATTTATGCACTTGAAATTTTGGACCACAGAAGCTTGAATTAAAAAATGAAAAAGGATATCCGCTTTGATTTTGAGAACTTGAGAAACTACGATTTTCAATAATATGATTAAAAATTTGATAAATATATTTCTTCAATTCTGATGACTTCACTCATCTTGGTGAATGCTTGAAGCAAAGAACGTAGGCTACTACATTGTAATGAAGGAAAAACACATAACTTTTTCTGAACGCATTACGTTGCATTTGCACAAAAACTGGGTTACTTTAATATTTCTTTGATTTTTTTCCAGATCATTCTTCTAGTAGAACAATTTTGTTAGGAAGAAAAAGCTTTCAATTGATCTTGTCACAAATGCTGTTTCAAATATTTTTTACATGATTTTTCCCTTGCTGTAGCAATCATACAGAAAACATGAGTGAGTAAAAATGACAATTCCTCCTCTTAAAACAGAGGTAGAGCGTCTAATTTGAGTAAATATTTTAACATGAGGAAATAATGCTGACAAAATATATGAATACTGATGATAATTAGCACGGAATAACTGATGCAGAAATAAAATTGTTCTCTCATGATTCATCATCAGATTGATTCACATCGTTAGTAACATCTGCACTATCAGGTTTCTTGATTACTTTCATGGTCTCCGCAACTTTCAGAGATTTTTCGGCAAACTCGCGGACTTTTTCCGTACCATCTTCCTTTAACAGCGTTAGGGCCATCAAAACTTCAAGAATGCCAGTCTCGACAATTTTTTCTGCATTTTCCTTGGAACTTGAAATCACATTGTAAATGATCACAGCACCTCTGTATTGGGTACCTGGATCTGGATGTGCCAACAGTTCCTTGAAACGTTCTTGCCAATCGGAAACCTCGAACAATTTAGAGCAACATTTAACGCTCTCTCCAGTTAACATAGCCACTGCCCCTGCGGCTGCTTGACTTGTCTCGGCATCTTCTTCTCCGCAAAGTAACACGAGGAATTTCAACTTGTCATTGTTACCTTCATAAGACTGAACAACGTCTGGCGACATCACTAAATTAGTGATACACTGGGTAGCTGCTCGACGCAGCATGAGATGATCTTCAAAAAGGTAAGTCTCAATTTTTTGAAGACCCTGTTCTTTGATGATCCTCTTCCTGACGCTCTCATTCATGCCAGCTAGATTGCACAGAGCCATTAATGCTTCAAAACTCTCCAAGGCAGTGCATTCTGGGTGGAGTAAACTTAACAGTGGTCGCACGACTTCTAAGGCTCGTTGACCTGCAAATGCAACTTCTGGATTCATTGTAATTCCAATGCGAGCAATGGCTTGAGCTGCTTGTTTCTTTCCTTTCTCCGTTCCTCTAAGAGACATGGGCAGAAGGACTTTGACTCCTCCTTGCGCAACTATGATTCCTCTCAAGTCTTGTTGGCTGGCCATTGCATTGAAAACACGACAAACCAGTTCTTTGCTATTGTCACTTTCAGTTTTCGATAAAGCAACGAGTGCATGAGTAAGTCCTTCTTTCGTTAGAGCGTTGATACGTTTTGCGACGAAATCTGGGTCATCCAGCTCGTGTTCCTCTGGAATATGATGCTTTGCAAACTTGGCAAGTTCAACCATTTCAGGTATCACTTCTTGCTTGTCGTATGCATTGCACAGATTAACAAACGTAGTGATAACACCGTAGACAGATGCTTGAGTTTTCTCTTTGCTGAGCTCAATCAACGCACGGATGGCTGGTTTGTCCTCAGTCAATTTTTCTTTCACTTCAGCATCCAGCGTTAGGTAGGAAAGTCCCTCTGCTGCCCATCTTCGCATGTCATTACTTTTATGGGGGTTCAGTAAAAATTTACGGCAAGCTTCAGCAAGTTTGACAGTTGAGCCATCGGCAAAAGGTCGAATTGATGCATCTGTCCCACCGCTGCTTCCCAGTTTACAGAGACCAACAAGAGCCCTCACCCGAATTTCATCATCTTTGGAAGCATAAAGATTCTTCAAAATGCCAACACCTTGCTGAATAATTGAGGCAATTTTGTCCTTCTTCGAGGCTGCTGCAATAATGCATTCGCAAGCTACTTTCTGCTGCAGTTTTTCTTCAGTATTTGCCATGACGATGATCATCTCCATAATTCCCTCCCGAGCGATTATTGTGTTACCAATGTCTAAGGGTCCAAGCAGGAGGCACTTAATTGCAACAGTAACTCTGACTTTAGATTCAATGTCCGGTGTGATAAGTTTCCCTTTCACGAAATCCAAGACATTTTCCAGGTATCTTTCACGAGCTTTATCATAATACATGTTTTCATAAATTCTAGCAAAGCAAACGGACGTTAAAATGTGGGTGGACTCAGTAATTTCCATTGATGACTCATACTTATATTCTTGCAACTCACTTGCTACTTCCATAAGTCTCTGAAGTCCTTTGATCTCGATCAGTCGCTCCGCCCAGTTTATGGCTTTGTAGTGAACATTACGGGTGATCAGTTGAATAATTGCATCACGCGCTAGCCCAGATATAGTTCTACTGTTACAGGAATAAACAAGGCAAGTCAACAAAGTATCGATTTCTTTCTTGTTTTCTTCACATAATTTTTCGTTCGGCCGCGAGTCCAAATTATTCTCCAAGCCACTGAGAGAGTTGAGAATGCACTGTAAGCAATACTGGGCAGCATTCACTTGTTCCTCACTGCGACAATTTAAAATGTCAAGAAACCATGGAACGCCGAGCTCATGGAGTACTTTTTTGGTCCTGCTAACATTGTTCTTGCAGAGCTCCCCAACGGTACGAATGGCATTAAGGTATATCTCTGAATTTTTTTCCACACCTACAAGTTGACTGATTTTATGAAGTACACCTGCTTCGATTAGCGCATCTGCTCCAGTTTTCTCTCTACTCAGCACCAATAGATTATTCATTGCTTGTTCTCTCTTATCAGAAGATTCTTCCATCGTAAATGCATACTTGAACATTTGAGATACCTTGTTCTGAGTCTGCGCATTGAGTCTCATTCTTTCTTGAACAATTGCATGCAATCTGGCCAAAACCGGCTGGATAACTTTATTACCTGGATCGACGGTGTGGATAAGTTTAGCATCACGATATGCTTCTTCAAACCTTTCTAAGTTTTCTAGAGCTTGACAGCGCCTGTACAGAGACTTGGGATCATTAGGGGTGATTTCAAGCGCAGATGTTGTGTCAGCGACGACTTTCTCATTTTCATTCCGCTTCAAATAAACCGCAGCACGATTTTTGAGGAGTGTAGCTTGCTCGTTGGAGTCACTGGGTGCAATTTTCAATCCATCAGTGTAGTACTTCAGGGCTAGATCCAAATCACCAAGTTTAAATGCCTCGTTCCCTTTCTCTTTCAGTTCAACCGCATTGTCAGAATTCACCACCTCCTTGAGTTCAGGCATAATTAGAAAAAAATCTAGGACACCACCGCACACGAGTGTAGATTAATTTAACAGAGGAAACTAATAGACAGTTGTATTAAACACAGTTTTTGCACACTTGAAAGCAAAAGTATGATACCAAATGAAGAAGATACGAACTGAAGTTCATGAAGCGTATTGATCACTTTTAACACCAGATTTTCGATTCCAGAAGTTTCTACTACGCGATTGTTCTAAATGGGGTTAATTTTAAACTTTGGCTTCACTCCAAGAAAAGAAATTCGAGAAGAACGAAACATGTGTGAACTGTAAACACGGAATTCTGCGCCGATGCAGAAAGTTTTTAGGTTACCGTTCTATTTCATTGACGTATAATACAATCTAGACCGCGCATTGGGCCCGACTTTGGGCGGGGAAGGTAAGACAGCTAGGGGGGTAAAGACGCGCCTTCAGCTTAGTTGATACCGCCGGATATACGAGCTAAGTGTACCCGTATCAGGCAACGGCACTGGCAAGACTGGCATTTCCACGAATTCCACCATTGTCTCGCCGGTACACTTGCTGTGTGTTGCTGGGTTGCCTATCGTCTCGCTTGAATTTCGTAATGCGCGGTCTAGATTGTATTATACGTCAATGTTCTATTTACAAACACTTTGCAGTGTTACCAAAGTCCAAATGAGTAAATTCCCACGGGAAAAGAGAAATTCCCGTTATTCCCTCTGACGCTTCTGCAGGCGGCAACTTTGAAACAGAATGCCGATTCATTGTGGAGAATTCTGCAGCGGACATGAGCGGAAGTGATGAAGAAAATATTTAAGATACAATTTTGAAGTGTTTTATGGAGGTAACTTTTATCTTCACAGAGACACATTGAAACATTAAAATTATTATTTGGTATTGGGAGTAGCATCATGAAAATTGTATTTTCACGAACAATTTTAATTGAGGGGCTAGGGGGACAGCTTACAAAGGTGCATAAAAAGTGCAGATTTTGAAAAAGTTGGGATATTAATGATTTCAAGTAAAACTATAGTCTCAATGCATATTCTGAGATAAATTCGCTACTTAAAAAACTTATTAAACTAAACTTAAAATACCCCTAAAAATTTTTTATAATGTATTCTGCAAGGGGGACTTCTTTGGAAACATAGTCAAAATTATTGATTCTACTATTCAGAACACCGATGTTCCAATTGATGCTCTTAGCAAAGAAACAAATATTCAAAGTAATTCGAACCATGACTATCTATAACTGATGCTGCAAATGTCCAAAATGATCCTGCTCCCATTTTAATTCATAATCTTCATAAATAATTATTAAGTTCGGCCGAGAAAAAAGAGCACTCTATACAATATGCAGTGAAGCGCTTGAAAGGGCCCCAGGAGATATTAAAAGGCAGTGCTTTGACCTAAACGAATACATGTATTATTCATTGATGATATTGATGGCCCACAGTGTGAGGCAGCCATCGACAGTAGTGTGGTGGGTCGCGGCAATTATTTTTCTCCCTTCTAGTGAGAGAACTAGAGAGTAACTTTCAGTATTCACAGGGGCACCACCAGAAAATATTTCCCTCTGAACACCATCAATTAAAGAAGTTACTTTCATGTAGGCTTCCTTATTGGCAGGTGTCTGTTAGAAGGAGGGCCAACTTCATCCTTCTTTCCAGTGTATTTTTGGAACTTGTCCATTGGCAAGTAAGATGCCATTGAAGGGATGGTTAATTACCTACGGACTAATGTTCAAGACCTGCCAAGCAAAATTGGAGAGAGTCGAGACCCTTGATATCCTACAGAATACCATATCAGAAACAATGCTGCAAACATGTGGCATTGTGTGTCTTATTGCATGTATCAGAATCTCAAAAGTCAGATATTCCGACAGGTATGCAGCCACAACCACCTGAAAATTGCTGAAACTAAATATCCCAAAACTATCTTAATCGAGTTTATGTTAAGTTCTTGACCAAGAAAATCAAATTGGATTTGTAATCATGAAATTCAAATCAGTTTCTAGCCAAGTTCAAGGTAGGTAAGTATTAACCCTGATAATTCAATTGGATTTTTTGGCATAAATTTTTGATTAATTTTTTCTAAGAGGTTGTCATTTGTAATTTTCATGGATGCAGATTTACTTTTTACAGCTTTCAAAAAGATGCTCATAGATAGACACAGAAGTGAAGGTATAGTTCTATCTTCAATGCAAAAACAACTTTTGTCCGTGGGAAGTTTAATTTTTTATTTCAGGAGTTCATCTTTTTCAACACAATTAGATAAAATAACAAAACTTATGCACTATTTACAACCTTTCCAGAACTCTTGACTACCCTTCCTTTCTTTAATCAATTTTTTCAGAAGGTTAAGAATCAGACAACAAAAGAGAGGTGAATTTTTTTAGATTTTCACTCTCCTTTTCAAGCGCCAAAGTTGAGATGATTCCTGTCCATGCATGGGATTTATTTCAACAAAGTGAGTTCACTTATTAGACCTATCTGACAATGTACATTTTGCATCCTCAGTTTCCCACCGAGTCTGACTGCTAAAGGCATTCAGTTGCATCAAGTCAATATCATCTGCATCATTGCACCTGACAGAAGTTATTACACAATTATTACGATGTGGTTGGACGTTTTTACACCTCTCTTTGCTCAAGGAATTGTTCTGGGCATTAATGAAGGAAACTGAATAATTTGAGTAAAAAAAAGTAAAAACATCACAGAGTACTTATAGCAATCAGTTCCTTGTAAAAAAGAGAACTTTAACGCAGCGGATCGACTGGAGAGTCCCTTTCATAAGTCACTTCCATTTCTAACTCGTCTTCATCATCATCATGAGTTTCGCTATCATCATCATCATTGTCTTCTTCTTCCTCTTCCTCATCGTCTTCTTCTTCTGCAGGTTGCTGTAAAAATTTATCAGCAATATTACTATCAATAATATAATCAGGGCCTCCAAAAGAATGCTGATTGTTGTACAGTGAACCTGGTCATAACAAAATCTGCGCGGAATGGAAAATTGCGCTTATCAGAAATTTTAAAAAGATTTTCCTCAGTTTTGCTAATTGTTATTATTTTCAAATTTTGTCAATTTGAAATATTTTTATTCCTAGAAGTGTCGAGCTTCAGTACAAATGAATGGTGTTGTGTCAAGAGCATCCACACAGAACCCTGCAATATTTCTCTCTTTTTCCAAATTCTACGACAATTTTTTTAAATCATTATTATCACATCAACTTAAATAGACTTTAAAAAAAAGCTGAAACTTACATCTGAAGTTTTCCCGATTGGTGTAAATTCAGCTTCTCTACTTCCGATACTATTCATCTGAAAAAAAAAAGAACGAACATCGTGAGAAACTATACCGGTGAAGTAAAAAATTGTTGCACTATGCATATTTTAAAAACATTTTAGAATCATACAGTCCGAAATGCAATTCAAACTTCCTTCACCTTTCAACCATAATTTGATCCATCATAACACAAATAGTTGAATCTTGAAGAAAAGACAACTAATACAGCCGTTATTTACAGTCAGTTTGCTCTGAGGTGGAGTACCTGCATAGCGAGAGTATGAACACTCCAAAAATCCATCAGGCCTTCACTGGCCTCTGCAAATAAAATTAAGGTCTAAAAGGGCAGCCAACTTATGAATTCAATTATCCAGAGCGATGTATAAGTGCAATTGTTAGAACCCGTCGTTTGTAAAGCATGTATTGGACTTAGCTTTTGCATAAAATTTACTAATTTTTGTGGAAGAACACTCATTTATAAACATTCTTGGCCACCTTGGTTTGAAATTGGAATCTGAAGATCGGACATTCTGTAAGTGAGAAGGCTGGCTGCCCTTTTGGGCCTTCAGCCCTCCATGAAACAATCTGTCCATACTTTCGCCGTACAGGCACTCCACTCTGAGGTGCCAATGTATGAATTGGTGCTGCCCTAAAATTTGAAAACCATTTGCATGGCAAACACATGGGGCACACGCACTAATTGTCTCCTCGCTGACTACAATTGTACAAGCATTTTAATAAATAGTAAATGTGTATTAGGTACTTAATCTAAATCAAGAAATACTCGTTGAAAACCTCCGTATGTATGTGTTGCGACATGCTTTCTTCGGAAAACTTTTTTGTTCCAAATTTAACCTAAACTGATTGGGTGTTGATAAGAATCAAGAGTTCAAATGAACTGTCTAACGTCAATGCATGTTAAAACAGTATTACGTGACTTGCATCAGTGGTGACATTGAAAAAGCTTATATGAACGTGTGTAAACGAGTTAATGAACATAGGGAGCAGTCTCTACTCAGCAATCTTGCCATTCGGATCACAGCTTAATTGACAGCTGCGTATCCTATCTGTTCAGTTTGTACATAATTACACTTGAAAAAATTAATGCATTAATGTAAGATATACTATGATTACCCAAGATTGATGCTGCTGCTCTTGCTGGGCCAGGTCACTTTCATCATTTTTGGGTTTGTCGACACTAAACCAAAGTGGATCTACAACTCTCGGAGACAGGGTAGGAAATAATGGCACTGCCATAATAACTTCACTGCTTTCTTAGTTTCACCAAATAAATTGGGAGGTTCCAAAGAGGGAGCCGTACACTCTAATTTAATTGGCAAAAGAGACTGAGACTGAGAATGCTAGATATACGAACTCAAAGAAACATGTCTTGGGAAATTTGAATTTCGTACTTGTTTACATTAACCTAACCTAACTCAACATATTATGATGCGCAACGAATGTCAACGTTGATCGTGTTGTGTTGTTTGTTGTTAGATGAGTTTCCGTGTTGTGCTCGTGCGCTACGCCTGCGTGAATTGTGAATTCGCAATTACTTTTCCGGCAGTTTGTAACATTTTACAAGATTTCATTCTAAATTTTACTTGAAATTAAAGTTTTATGCATGGGAGTTCCGACTAAAACCATGTAAGTAGTGTCTCTCATCAATTTTCGTCTACTTTTTAAGCCGCTCAACCACGCCTGGTACCTGCCGGCGTTCCATCTTTTCGGCCATGTACTAGCTTTAAAAACTCTTCCATCATTTCTTTCAACATTTTTAGATCATTGAGCTCGAAAATTTCTGTTCACCGCCCATTCTAGAGGAAATTAAACACCCTACTCTGTAAAGCGCCCAACTTTCTGAAGCCCTGAATCGCCTAACCATGAAATGATTGATTCTACGCATCTGCTTTTTCTTGGCCATCTACCTCGTTTAATCTTATCTCGTTATTAATCTTCCTTAGCTCCTTTTGTCAAAAATTACGCCTCTAAATACTTTTTAAATACCTAGGCTTTTTAATGCCTTTTTTGTATAACCCAAAATCATTTTCCTATCTTCACACCCTCCTGCTAGGTATTTTTAAAGACATCATTTAATTTTCTTTAGAATAACTAGTGCCAAATTCCTCAGTTTTAAGTCCATGGTCCTTTACCTTAAAATAAAGTAATGAAGTTTCTTTTAATGCAAACTTTTACTCGCTGTAATCAGCTCCGTTTTAACAAACTTTTTAATTTTTCAGGGCCCGCGAAAGAAAAGGAAGTGGCAAAAGTTCTGATGATGCCTCTGACAAAGAAAATAAAAAAGATCGTGGAAGGGACCGGAAGAAAAAAGCCTCATCATCTAGTAGTGATAGCAGCAGCAGAAGGTAATGTACATGTCTCGCAGCCACTTTAGAACCTAAAACTACCTGCAGCATATCATGGCGTTGTCTACGAGAATAGAGAGGCCGTAACTACTACTCTGTGACGGCACGCTAGTAAATGAAATTCGGCCGTGATTTAACATGTGTTCTTATGGAAGAATGCATGACACATGTTCCTATTGTGCCAATATCTTTTCAGGGGTTGATCCGATGTTAAAATTCTGAAGTAAGAACCTCTTTGAAAGATAAAATTTCACATCAGAAAACTGCCTAGTTCATAAATTACATTGTCTGATAATTGAGGATATAAAAACTAAACACGACTACATACCGAAAATCTTTACCCTACTAAGAGTCAAACGCGCTGCTCATGCAACTTTGGCCGATCGATGATGGCTCTAATTTGTTAACACAGCGATTACTCTACTACTTTGACATCACAGAACCGAGTAGTTACGTCCTCTCCATTCTTGTAGGCAACAATCATAGGCGTACCTAGCTAACTTTCTTGATGTAGGTACAACCTACAATTAGGGTGTTTCTGGATGTGACACAAAGTATTATCAATGAAATGCCTGTGAGAATGAAATCCATGATGTAGAGACTTAAAAAAATTTGATTATGTTGGTCATGGACCAGTAAATTACTTAAGTAAGTCCTGATAAATAATATATCTGTACTGCCAGACATGCCAGCACACAACTCTGTTGGCAATATAAGGGGCAGAACGAAGTAAGACTTTTCATGGTAAACACTGGCAAATATGCAGTGTTGGCCTCCTATGGTGTAGTGGTTGTAGCGCTTGCTCTATAATCGGGAGGTCCCGGGTTCGATTCCCGGCCAGGCGACCCGAGTTTGATGGTCTCAAACAATGGTTGCCTGGGGCTGGTTCAGTAGGGACGGAGGGGGGACGGGACTTAAAGCGTGGGATTAGCCCTCGTGGGCTATTTGAAATAGTAAAAAAAAAAAAAAAAAAATATCTCCCAATCAAATTTTGATAGTAGAAGAGTCCAAATCAATGTGTTTAGTTTTGGTAAGGAATTGAAAGCGTTTTTAATAGTGCATATCCCATTCTGTTAAGTGGTTTCTTCATTATACAGCTAAGTCCCAATTATTGAATTATGAGCAGATGAACCTTCGTTTTAATTGACAGCATTATCTCTTTCAGCTCCTCGTCTAGTTCCAGCGCTTCAAGTGCATCCTCCTCATCTGGATCATCATCAGGCTCTAGCTCCCGCTCGAGTTCATCCTCTTCATCTTCATCTTCCTCCTCAGCCTCTTCATCAGCGCGGAACAAAATCAAGCGCAAGTAGGTTTTTAACATCTCTTTGCAGTCTCAAAAATTTTCTGCTAATTATTTTATACTGTTTATAACGTCCTGCAATATTTCATTCAATGAAAACTTTGTCTGAATACGAGTTCTCCAGACTCAAGATTTACAAGCTACCTATAAAACAGCGGATTCATTTTAATGAGAAAAACCATGAACAACCGAGGTATTTCGAAGAAACAAACTTAGAAGTGCTGGGACTTATAGTACTTCACAGCACTTGCAAGCAGTAGGTAATATAAAGTTTTGATTGCCCGGATGATTTTCACAGTAGGTTCAACTTTTCTGCCCTTGCCTTATGGAGAATATAAGACATGCAAAATTTGGAAAATAATATGAACTCTGGAATTAGACATTTTTGCAGAATATCAGTGGATGAATAACCCTGTTGAACAGCCCTGTTGGTGTCATAGAGATATAAAATTAATCTTTAGGAGATGTATTTTCACTCTTTCTTCGCGCAAAGTTACTCACAATAACTACACTGAGGTATCATTCTAACTTTATTTTAAGGTCTCTCAAAGTTTTTTAAAGATGTCACCAAATACAGCTCTTGCATGTATCAGGTATTTGCGGTTTAAGCACTGTTTCTTTTGTAAAATTTTGCAAGAAATATGTTGGTGGAACTGGTTTTCTCTGAAATCAACTCCAAAGCTCAAAAAAAGCTTTCGAAGTTGACGCTGTAATGGAGGGAATATCCCACGCCACCCCTCCTGATTAAGAGTTGGACTCTTAGAGTAGCATGGGATATCCCCTACATTACAACCTCAACTTGGAGAGCTTTTTGTGAGCTTTGGAGTTGATTTCAGAGAAAATCAGTGGCAGTCTTGCGTTTCACGCAAAATTTTACACAGGAAACAGTGCTTAAACCACAAATTCTGGATACACGCCAGAGCTCCACTGATACTTGGAAAAAAAAATTTTAACTCCTTTCATTCTGGGGAAATTTTCTGGTGACCCATGGTAGAGACACACCAATTCACTGCTGAAAAAGAGCCAAATTTTCGAATTGCTTTGACATTATACTTGTTTTTTTGTTATAGAGTCGATAGCCGCAGTAAAAGTCCAGAGAAAAAGGTAGTCAAAAAAGATGAAGATAGGAAGAAAAGATCAGAAAAATCTCCAGCAAACAAATCTCACTCGTATCGTGATCGTCGTTCCAGATCAGCATCCCCAAGACGAAAGAGGAAGGAGAGATCTCCTACTCCTAAGCCATTGACAATTCATGTAGGACGCCTAACCAGAAATATCAACAAGGACCACATCGTTGAAATTTTTTCAACCTACGGATCTGTGAAAAGTGTTGATTTGCCAATTGAAAGAATTTTCATGCAGAATAAAGGTTTTGCATATGTCAAATTTGGGACCCCCGAAGAAGCAGAAAATGCAATGAAACATATGGATGGAGGTAACTTTTTTCTGAGATTCTTTCAATTTTCGCCCTTTATGATCAGTTCCAACAAACTGACCTTAGATATTTCCAGAGCTCCTCAACAAGGGTGCAGAATCTTCCAAGATTCCACGTTTTCATGCGCCTGCCTGCCAGCTTTCCACATTTTTCTCATCAGTTTTTCACGAAATTTTCCACCAATTACTTAAAAGAGGACCTTTTTCCTCGTCTTTTCTTTGATTTTCTAGTTTTAAACCTTAAAATTTTCTTTCCTTCCACATTAACACAGGCCTTTCCACATTTTCATATGCCTGGAGGAGTGTGGAATTGAGCATTTTCTGCACCTCTGCTGCTCAAACACTGTCGCTATTGTAAATAAAAAAATTTTGGTACGTTGTCCCTTCTTACAAACACCAAGAGTATTTTAGTACACCACCTTTTTTGTAAAAGCCCATCTATGAAGGTAATACTGTTTTGCTAAGTCAAAGAGCAACAAATCCATATTTTTTTGGAAGTCTATAATTGCAAAATATGATTGTGCTTGGTTGAAAGAAAATGATACACTTAAAATAAAAGCCCAAATTGAAACATTTACGCTAATGATTACAGATAAGTTCCGAACTTCCCTTAAGACACCTTGTGTTAAACACACTGAGTGCCCACAGCTATATTGTAATGTTAACTGTTGCCAGTGCTATGGATTAAAATGAAGTTTTAAACTCACATTAAAATAAATGTATTTATTTTAGGTTGTCTAAGCTTTTCAGCCTTGGCCACCGTCAGGACTTTATGGAGAAAAACTTTGAAATACTCTACATAACTTACTCTGAGCAATATTAGTACCTAGTCAATATTTGTGGTGGTTTATCTCTTAATCTAAGATTGAGAGAGAGATTAAGAATCAAGTTAGGGAAGCATTAAGGAGATCAACCAAAATTAAGAACATTAAGAGTAACTCACCCTTAATATACATAATATCAAAGACGCTAGAACACAGAAGACCCTACGTAAATACTCATTTCGCATTCAGACTTTTCATTACCAGTAGTAGAAGCATTGCTTTGCTTTTCGAGTCGTTATCCCCCCTCTCCCCTAGTATTTTTCTGGACCCGAAAACTATCAAACCCTCTACTGAGCCATTTCTTTTTGTTAGGACCTAAACACTTTTGATCTTTGGATTCCCTGTCTTTTATGACTTCCCAATCCTTCAAGAATATTACACAAAATATTACACAAATTCAGGCTACATGAAATCTAGTTAACCAATCCCAGTCAAAGTCGTTGGCTTAAGCCATGGAAATAATCGTCTGATTTTAATTCCAGGTCAAATCGATGGGCAAGAAGTAACCTGTGCTCCAGTGCTTCAGATCCGGCCGCCGCCTGTGCGACGCTTCAGTCCTTTTAGAGGCGGTGGTCCTCCAAGAGGAGCAGCTCCGTGGAGGAGGAGACAATCCCCTCGCCGCTTTGGGCGTGGCAGGCCCAGATCACCACCTAGAAGGAGGCTTTCGCCACCGAGAAGGCGGAGATCACGATCACCAAGGCACCGCCGCTACAGCAGATCCAGTTCCAGCAGTTCTCGATAGTTTGTCCTTTTTGTTTTCAATCTTTTACTTATTCCTCTCTTTATTTTTTATGTTTGACTTATCAAAAAGGAATGTTCAAAGTTGGAAGGTTACGTTCAAGTAAGAGGCAAATTTAGTTTTTTGTCTTCTCCTGGGAGAAATTTAAGGATTTGCGCATTTAGCATGCCTGAAATGAATTGTGACATTATGCTATAAGGTTTTCTTGGTGATGTATTTTTATTGAGAAGTGCTGGCACAAAATCATTGGACTAATCTAAGGAGGGTTAGTTCAACCATTAGTATTTTCTTTATCTGCAGTGTGTTGGAATTATGGCTGGTTTTAACTTATGTATTTTGCACTTACCCTAGAATTATGAAAAATTGCCATCACTCCCTAAGAAAACAAGAGAAAATTATCATTTTTTATATTTAATTGCCTATATCTTGCCAGACTGATTGATGTTTCGACAAGTACTCTGCAATCCAAGTACCCTGTAGCACCCGAGAGGATCCACAAAAGTATTCAACCAAATAATAAATCCTGGACTTTCCTGTGTTAAAAATAAGTATTTTCATTGCATCAAATGTTCATTGTTACTTGTTGTATTGGCAAGGAGTTAAAACCCACCAAGTATTATGGTTAGTGGATAAAATGCTAGCTTATGACTGCGTAGACCAGCTTAGGTAAACCATGAGCACGGAACTTGGTAACACCCGCAATTGCAAGGATTCGATGACCTGCCCAAAGCACTGGAGGTTCTAATAAAAACAATCGATCAGATGACAGACTCGGCATTAAATATGAGAACGACCATGGTTATTCACTCCAATTGAGTACAAAATTTCGGTGTGAAAGAAGTTTTTCATTCAAAAGAATGTTACCTAAATTAGTGAGAGTTAAAAGCCTATCAAATAAAATAATTTTGCACACTGAAAATAATTAATCTCTTTTGTTTGAGTTAATGAGCTGCACGCACTTCCGATTTCCCTTTTCTAAAAATTGCAAATAAAATTGTGGACAAATTCAGAGTAGTTGGCAAATAATAATTATCACAGAAAAATTAAAATTGTTTTATGTTAACAACCAAGGTGGATTCACAGTATTAAGGAGAATGATTTTAGTAGATTGACCTGATAGGTTTCCTGAAGTTCAAGACATTTTTCAAAATTTAAATCATTCCTCTGCACATCTGGTACAAATTATACTCCTTTGTCCTGAAAGTAGCCTGAAATCATCCCAGAAGTATGGTTTAAAGAAATTTCTTGAATCGTCTCGTCTTTCTGTCTTGGTTTTTTTCTGTTTCAAGCAATGATTTTAATATCAGGAAGTTGCCAAAAAATGTCTTAAAATTCAGAAACTATTCGCATCATTAAGAAGTGGGTAACCGCATGCAATGGTGGAAAACCATTTGAAGATTTCTGTGTTTTTAAGCACCTAAATCAGGCTCACACTAATTTGTGAAAGACTTGTAGCCTAAAGACTTCGCAGTGGTTATGTTCTGACCCAAGGACCTCTCATCTGATAGTCTAGTTAGAGTTGAGAGATTAAATGCAGTCTTTTTTGAAAATCAGGCGAATCCAACAGTTGTTTTTAATTTGTATATAATTTTGTACTCATACTTAAAATTCATAAGTAAAACAAGCTTCTAAGATTCAGATCTTCTCTTCATTTTTGTATTTCCTTTTCATAATCCGTGAAGTTAATCAATATTTTGCTCACTGAGCAAACTGCTCCTGTATACATACTAAAAGAAAGGTGGTGGGGGAGGGGCTTTACCTGATAGGATACTAATTGTTGCTACTATCACAAAAAAACTACAANCTCTTCCACTTTGTAGTCCTAATTGAGATGCGTCCGTAGACACCAAGATCGTAGGAATCCGTGCCGTCGTTTGGGCTGCAGTCGAATGGCAATCGAATCAATTTTCAAGTTAAGGGAGTTGCCTGTGACTAAGAGTGTCGGCCACCCGTTTGTTATCGGGACTTTAGTAGGACGTCATTTTCCTCGACCGGGGGTGGCTACCGCCACTCTTGATATGTCTTCTTTTCTTTTCGAAAAAAGGAGTAAGCATATGGACTCCCATGATAGTACAACATGAATCTTTCAGAGAAATTGCCAGCAATCATTTTCATTAAGTCAGTCAAGCTCGATAAATATCATCCGTCACATTTTGAACTCATCATTTCTTCAGCGCTGATGACACCTTTCACTTTCTTCTCTTTTTGTTTTGCATTTTATAACTCCTAACTTGGGTCATGGGGGAGAGAAGATTAAAGGAGACCGACTTTTTGGTTCAAACCTTGATTTTCTTTATTTTTTTATAAAAGAAAGGTACTGAAATTCACAATCTATGTTGTCAAGACATTTTACAAAACAACTAACTAAAAATAATTGGCTCACGATAACACAGTTCAAACTTTTCCTCCATGTCTTCCCACTGAAGAATCAGTAGCAGAGGAATTTTGTTCAATACATGAAAAGTGGATGCACAGTTAATCTTCATCTAGTGAAATATTTGCTTATTGAAAATTGTCACCCTTGAATTATACTTTAAAAACCAGTTTTGAAAAAAGAAATTACTTATCGTCATGCGGGCAACAAGATAAATTGTAGAAGAGCTAGATGTAGACAAAGAAGTTTTCATCAAAGAATGTGCATTCTTATAATCAGTAATAGGTTCTTGAGTTTTTTAGAACTTCAAGAGTGTGTTTGGTCATTTTAATGTTGTATCAAGAAAAAATTTTCCAAAAGAAAGTTTATCCCTTTTTCATTCATTCTTCTACTCCTTGCTTTCTTATATTCAGAAGATAATAATTGAATAATTGCCACTGGTGCGTCAGATTGTATTAAACTCGGTTACAAGTTCATCTTCTGCTGATGGAGTGGAGACAAAAATAGACCCAGCTCACTCAAATGAATGATTGAACAATGCTTTATACCATTCTAAGATCGTGAAAGTTGATAATTTTTTGGCATGACAAACTTACACACTGCTCTGAACTAGGTGATAATAATTCTTTGTATTATTTATGCATGAAAAATGAAAATTAGAGGTTGGAAGAATCTTTTATTCCTTGACAAAATTCCGAAGTCGCAAACTTTTCACATTATTATTTTTTACCATAGTGATTCTTGTTACTTGATAACGGCTCACTCATCTTTGGCAAACCTCAAACAGAATCTCACTCACACTTAAAATAACTATATTTCTGAGAGGTACAAGCGCACGTAGAACTGCCTCATGCTGTTTATTTTAACACATTACTGAAAGTAACAAAATGAATTGACATTATTTGTAAAATAAGTTAATATTCTTCACAAAGACAGTAGACTTCAGGTATACACTCCTGTCCATGAATCCACGACAGAAAAACAACGAGAACCAGAAAAAAATGGGTGACTAACAGTTAACAGCCAAGAAGAAATTGTATTTGCCCCTTACGGCAGTCAACGATTTAACTGTTTTTACCACCTTCCATGAAAAAAGGTCTGTAAAGGAACGAAACAAAAATCTTGATGCTACTCTTAAACAGGTATTCTTGATGCAATCTGAGATAACAAACTGCTTTTAACTCTCTAGGAAAACTTCTGGAGGAGAGAAACTCAGTTCGTAACAAACCCGTCAATTTGCAGTTTTTTAGGTTTAATTATGGTAATAGACGCACTAAATTTCAGTTAAATTTCCATCATTACACTATGTAAATATTTCGATTCTGAACAATTTGGGAATGTAAGTTTTGCAATTTTGCCTTTGCGCAAAATAACTCTTCCAACAGCAAACTTAGAGTAGTTTCTATCTAATGAATTTTGCAAACTAAGAGGTAGATGCGACAGAATGATTGGTTTTATCGTGCCAATTTAAAGTTGGATCATAAAAAAAACTCACAGCATTTACTGTGTTTGCAGTATTTTTCTTGTTGACCAAGATGACAGGTACCTACATAGGTATTCTTAATGGCAAAAATTCAGAAAGACACAACTCCTGAATGTAACAGTCGCAACAGCCTAGATCTCTCTCATCCAGAAATTTAGGGTTTTTTTTTCTGTAGCATCACTTACTTATATAATTTATTTTTTGTTTGAATTCATTTCCCTATACATATTTTAACACATCAACAAGGTAGAAAAATACATCACTCAATACATTCACTCAATAATGAGGCAATGCGCCAGGTGTTCTCTAAGATAATCGAAAAGTTCCCGCGACGCTCCAGGACAATTGGTTAACTCTAATTCTTGCAAATGTCGCAGCTGTATTAAGCTTGACAAACCGCTAGATGTCAGCAGTGGACAGCCTGTATAACAGAAATCAGGGTCATTGTTAGAAGACAAAACCAACTCATTGAGTAAAAATTTAATCATTATCGGGAAATGTTGATTCACACGTGTCACAAGACAGTTTTCCAATTGGACTGAATACAGGGGCCTATACTCAGCAAAAATATTAAAAATTTTGTCATTAATATTTCAGCCAAATCTCAGAGAAAGGGAGACAAAAGTTGTACACAATTTATTTCCAGTCAAATGGCCTCAGGAAAGTCCTGGAATCCCTATGGATTGACGAGCAGAATTATGATGGATAAAACCTTGAGTGCCAAGTTCTGGAAACCTTACGGCTAAGTTCTTGCTAAAATTGAAATTTTGCTAAATACTTTTACATCATGATTAAGAGCTCACTGGACTGTGAAAACATTCTTGGAAAAATGATTGTTTAAACTTAAGGTGTGTAAAAATTTAACAAAAAAAGTTTGCATAAAATGAATGAATTTTCATTGAATTCAGTTTTTAAAAAGGAAAAATATCATCCAAGTACCAGCAAGAGACAAAACTTGTAGGTTTCGCATTCCGCATAGATGCTGTACACCAAAATCTCGAATTTGAGAGCACCATCGGAGGAAGAGAGCTGTCAAAGACAACATCGTTGAAATGTATCCAATTCCAATGTCTGTTATGTGTTTACATCTGAAAATGAAAAAGAAAACATTTTAATCACTGTACGTATACCTCTGTAAAATATCGACTTGAAAAAAATGTAACTCTATGGAATTGCAAGTACATCAAATCAGAATTTGAATTATTTTTTTTAAAAACAATTTTTTATCCATCATCTTCAACATAAATGAAGTGTCTATTAGTGTGGAAAAAACAGCGCAAAAAAATTTCATAATGAATGAATGATTCCTTCATGTTCCACTTTTTGTATGGATTCAAAGAATACATTTGTGCCATTTTCAACGTATTTTTCCGGGCTCACAATCAGTGGCGAAAATAAGAGTAAGATAATACGCTTTACAGGGCCGGATTAAGGGGGTGGCCACATGGGCTGCTGGCCCATGGCGGCAAATCTAGGGGGCGGCAAATTTTGCAATTTTTTTAAATGTAGGTATAAAAAAAATCGGATTTAGAAAAAAAATTACAAACGAGAAAAGGCTACAAAATCTCTCATTTCCTGAGAGTATAGTAATTTCTAATTTTGTAGTCTTTCAGTGATACAAGAGACAGCACCTTTACTTAGTCGAGTTAAGAGAGAAACTAAACACACAATTTGGCCTGGAACGGCGCGACTTGGGAAGAAATGGTGACGAGGACTTGAGATGAAAAGGAGAAGCCCTCGGCGCGGCAATCGGCATGTAACACATATTAGCGCCTACAAGACTGTCCGAATACTTCACGCATTGCATCAAACACAGTGCGGTTATCGTGGTCAGCGTGAAACGGATAGCGCCTACAAGAATGCATGAATACTTCACGCATTGCGCCAAACACAGTGCGGTCAGCGTGGAACGCATAGCGCCTACAAGACTGCGTGAATGCTTCACGCATTGCGCCAAACACGGTGCGGTCGGCGCGGCGGCGGAAGTTAAAATCATTAAACCTTTTGTGCTTGTTCTTTCATAATTCTTGTGTTCATTTCTTATGAATGGAAGGCCTTGTCCATTAGAGATAGGTTTACGAAACTTGACTTTCGCGCAAAGTTCCGTGACCTTTTGCCAGTAGTGTTGAAAAAATGTGCTCAATACGAGTAAACGCGTCTCATGTACCCCTCCCCCGATGACACTTATGGTTTTAAGTAATTGATGTTTCAAAACGAATGAGAAGGGGGCAGCAAAATACAGGCGGCCCATATGGGCGCTGTATGAAAATTTGGAGGTTGCCACATTTCTCTCGACTTATTAATATTGGCTTTTGAGTAAAGCTATGCAATTTTTCCACACCATTTTTGGACACGTTGGACTGAATGGACATATTTATGCTGAAAGGAACTAGGTGCGTTGCACGCAAACGCTACACACGTAGTTTCTTTTAGCGTATGTAAATACGTCCAAATCGTAGATAAAATTCTGTGAAAAATCCAAGGAAAATATGCATTATTTCTAACAAAAATTAAATATTTATACGGAGAGGTTTGGTAACGTCTGAATGTTGATGCATCGTTTTTCCTCGCGGCGCGGCAGCCCAGTCAGGGTACACCGGTACACAGCTTGAGCTTGAAAGTCGAAGAAAGTGACTAGAATTGCATATTCGTGGTTTTGAAGGCGTTTAAGATGCTCATCGCTGTTACTTTTGATCGAATCGAACTTTGGCAAAGAAGGAGCTCCCCTCCAGGGGTGGACGGGAGAATTATGGTCGCTTATTTGTTCGCGACAAGATGACCGAGCGCGACGGTTTGTAGAGCTTGGAAAAATACAGGGGTTCTCGGAAAAATAACCCCGTTGTTTGCACTCCCCGGGGCGGCGCACAGTGGATCGAATCGTCAGAGAGGTCGGACACGAAATATTTTACTAAAACCGTAAATTTCGATGTTCCGATCGTTACAGTTTAAATTTTAAGTAGTGCATTTAGAGGAAAATTTCACGAGGAAACTAACGGAACCAGTTTTGAAACCTCAACGTTTTGTATAAACGGAGTTGTGAGCGTTTAAAGTTTCCAAATTTCGTCCGATCCCCCATCGGCTCGAACCGTTGTGCGGCGGGACGCGGCGCGGCAGCCAGCACGAATGTAATGTACTCGAGCACGGCGAGTTGGCCGCAAGGAAGTGGGTGAATGGGCGAAGGGTGATCCTTCACGACGAATCGACCCATATTCTTTCGACTCGTCATTTCTGCGAGTGCTCACCCATAGAGATGGTCCCAAGTTCTATTCTCTTTCGGAAAAGCACGTGGCCTGAACCGCCTGGGCTTATAAGGACGGTGCACTCAAAATCAAATTATTCTTCGCCAAAACGCCAATCCGGGGTCATCCTTAAATCACGTAACGCNGGGGGGGGGGGGGGGGTGTACGCAGTTACGCCATTTCGTTTTTACAAAAAAATTTTGGATGCTAGAGCTTAAGAGTCGAAGAAAGTGTCTAGAATTGCATATACGTCGTTTTGAAGGCGTGTTTTGTTTTCGTTTTTTGTTAAAAGGATAGGGACCTACGTCACAAAAGCGTTATACAAGGGGGAGGGGGTCAAAAATGCCGATAAAGTGCGTTACGTAATTTAGGGACGGGGCTCTTAATGACCAAATACGAAAAATGCGTACCTATCCCAATTACAACTTTTTAAAACTCTCCGATTTTCTTTTGCTTTCTTCAAGGGAAACTACCTTTAATGCGATTATAATACCTGACCTAATTAGGTACATAATGTTGGTGCCGTATACTCAAAATGCTTCGCCGTAATTTTTGCGATATTTCTTAATAGGAGCACCTCAGGAAAATTCACAGAACATTTCAGTTGGTACAAATTTCTTACCCTGGTAAAAATTGACGATAAGAGCTGCGTTTCAAAATACCATAGGAATTCTTATAGCCGACTAAAGAAGGCTACAGAACATCATATAGCTGGCTGTAGAATGCGGAAAAAATCATACGGCCGGGCTATACGAAGCGATAAAAAATTATGCAGCCGGGCTATAGTTCCTATCGCCGGGCATTACACTTTATCGCCTGGCTGTTGCTTTTTCGCCATCGATTATAAAAGGCTGTAAGAAATTGTGTAGAAATTCGTGTGCTTTGGAAATCATTGAGTTTGATACGGAACCACCTTAATATTGACAAAACACACGTTATATTTTCCTTTAATACATATTTTTTTTCATCAATTAAAACGAGAATAATCCATACAGGACGTGCAAACATTTCAAAATGACGAGTTGAATAACGCTGACTCCGCCAGATTAAATATTAGAGCCTAACACAAAGCGGAGCGGCGACGCTTAGGCGCCTACAAACCTAACAGGGATACTTCACGCATTGCGCAACGCGTGAAGTATCCCTGTTAGGTTCGTAGGCGCCAATGCGCGTTTCGCGCTGGCTGCCCGCCTGCCGCGCCGCAGCGTGCCACGGCGCTTGAAGCAACTATTTCACACCAGAGGTATTGCACAGTATCATACGAAACTGAAGGCGCTCTATTTCTTTAGTAATTGCAGGCATCCATCAAAAGTACGGAGCTTTCCTCGCAAAATAAATCAAGATACTACGGCCCAAAAAGAGAGCAGTATTCCAAAAACTCACTAAGTCCTAGCATCCGTAATTAGTAACGCTTAGCGTACACTTTATCGCCTGGCTGTTGCTTAATCGCCATCGGCTATAAAGGGCTATAAGAAATTGTGTAGCCGGCTGTAGGTCTATGGTATTTTGGAACACAGATCTCACTGCCAATTTTTAGCAGGGAGAGGGGTGTAAAAATGTGTCGCAATCTGAGAAACGCATTTTTCGATTTTAACCATCGCAAAATGCTTTTAGTCCCTTAGGTATAGAGTTCAATTGAATCAGCTCGAGCGAAAATTGCTGACGCCCATTGCCTATTTATCCAGTGTCTAGTACAGTTAGCGAGTCTTTACAGTCACATTCATGTATATCTAACCTTGAAATGTACATGTATCGATTACGAAACTCTCAAACCACGCATCTCGTTTTGCGACGTTGCAGACTTCCTGCCATGTTTTTTTTTTAAATGTAGAACTAGGTAGGTACTCGACGTCAGTTGTTAATAACTAAGTTCCGTTTTAAAATCGAAAAATTGACTCAAAATAATCGGTAGGATTTTTCAAGGATATCATAACTTAATTTCTCTCCACATTGCTGACTTTTGTGTGTAATCCACTAATCGGCAGAAAAATCGGTGAAATTTTCAGTCACAAATTTCAAGCAGTTTCCTGGCAAGATTACAATCATTTCCAAGTGGGAATTTTGAAACGTTAAACTGGGATGCGGTGGCAATTATTAATTGAAAGTTTAAAGCAGAATGAATCGACATGCAGACGCTCATTCCTATTTCGCGTTCAATTTTTGAGTTAGGCCAACAAATCGTCACCTTCCGGTCAGAGCATCACAAGCGCCATGCTACGTCTAAAAATTTCCGCCGCCATTTAATTTTTTTTACGGAGAAATTGTTCAACGAAGCTGTCCTGAATTTCCTTTGTGCAGATTCAGCCAACAATTTCTCCATGCAAAAATAAAATGGCGGTGGAAATTTTGAAACGTCGCATGGCGCTAGCAGTACTTTGGCCGGAAGGTGATGAAATATCCTTTGTGAAACAGTAGTTTTGTATTTGTTGATTTGCGTCACGTATTATCTAAAAATCTTTTCCCAGTCTGAATTCAGTCGTACTCCACCTAACTAACTTGAAATTATACCTGGATTTTCATCTGCATCTTATTGGTCGATCTCTCACATACACGATAGGTATAAAAATAGAAAAAATGATTTTTCCCCAAAAATGTGGAAACAGTTCTTTCTCAGCGCAAGCACGAGCAAAAAACCTCAGAGCCAGTATAAACTGTTTACACATCGCGTCCCCTTTTTCGGCATTTTCCCGCCTCCGAAAGTTCCCAAAATGAATCATCCACGCGCGATGACAGGAACGAATTTCTCTCTCGTACGTCTGTCAAGAACTCACGATCGTTACGTTACGTTAAATTTTAAGCCCGGCGCTGCCGATGGGGACGAAAATAAGAAGTCCGCTCCGTCAAAAACCGCATATCTACATATAGATCCCCTCAGAGATACGCTGTTCTTGGTTTTGACGGGCGGCGCTGCACTCCGATTCGGGTGCCAAGCGCGCGTGAAATTGAGACCGGGTGACATGAACCTGACCTCAGGTGTCATGGAGAATCGCTCGCGTAAGAAACTGCGACGGAAAACAATTGCTCATCCCGCGCGAAGCGTTGCTCCCGGCCCCGGTTGGAGCTTTTGTTCCCGCTAAGTAACGAGCGCCGCACAGTGGAACGAGGAGGTTGGACAAGAAATCTTTGGCTAAAAATTCAAATTTTGATGTTAATTTCGTCATAAATCCAATTTCAAAGGGTGTTTCCAACAGAAAATTTCACGGAAAAACCGATGAAGCCACTCTTGAACTTTTTTGGTTTCATATTTTTGAAAATATATAAGCTTTCAAAGTTCTCAGATTTTGTCCAACTTCTCCCGTTGACCCGATCCACTGTGCGCCGTTCCGCCTACCCACGCAACTCAAACGGCACGCGCGCTGCTGAGGTTGCCTACGAGCCGTTTTGAAGGCGGACCTTGGAGGCGGCCTACCTGCGTTCGGAGATAAGCAGCGTTTCGCTCATTTGCTGGTCTGTAATGGCAGAGCACCGAACGCCCCCCCCCCCCCCCCCNCTTCCTGCTCAAATGGCGGCTCGTTAATTTAATTAAATTTTGCCATTAAGAAATCGGGGCAGTGGTTGAGTAATCGAGCGACTAATGGTAGACAGTGAGGACTTTAAGCTGTGGTTATAAAGGGGTATTGTTTTTCAGCGGAGATAGGTGGCAAATATTATGGAAATTTTATCGTTTTACAGTGGTGTCTTGTTACGTCAACGGTGCAAACATTAAATTAAAAAAAAAAAAAAAAAAAAAAAAAAAAAAAAAAAAAAAAAAAAAAAAAATCATAAAAAATAGAAAAACGTAACTCGAATGCGGTATATTTCAACATGTTTACTTATTTTCGAATTTGCCACAAGATAAAGAGATCCAAAAAATTTACGGAGTAGAATCCAAAGAAGATCCGTAAGAAAAAAAGAAAGAATCACACGATATTACGGGCAATTAAGACGATCGGTTTTCCTAGGTAGGCACGATAAAATATACTAGAAAATCTAAAGCTATACAGCCCAAAATGCGTGTTTTTTTTTTTCAGGCAAGTGTCATCTGAGTCTTGGCCTCAAGAGCCCCATGGAAATCGTAAATGAATGAACTGATCGAAAAGATCCACGAAATGTCTCCCTTGCTTTTTCCGCTTTATTATTGAAAGCCAAATTACTTGCGTTCCTAAGGTTGCCTACAAGCCGTTTTGAAGGCGAACCTTGAGCACGGCCTACCTATGTTGTGTGGACGTAGTATCTTGTTCATTTTACTGGTTCGTAAAGGCGATCTAGCAGTCCCGATATGGCGACTCATTAGTGTAATTACATTTCGCCTTTAGAAAAGAGGGCAGTGGTTAAGTCATTATGAAAAGAAGATTTTTTTCTCCGTTTCCATTCAGTACAGAAAGTATCCCCTCCGGAGACATTTTGAAACATTGTATGCCATCTAGTTACAAATATTTTGGGTTCCGCTACTAGTGAGGCAATTAAAATAAACCGTAGGTACCAATAGTTCATGTTAATTGTTACCTAAAGAAGATGTTTTGTTAAAAGTTCCAACGTTTCAATATTTCTATATTTATTCCATATCGTACAGGGATCTTTCAAAAATTACAACGATGGTTTTATACATTTTTACACCCCTCTCCCTGGTAAAAATTGACAGTAGAATCTGTGTTCCAAAATACCATACCTACAGCCGACTGTAAGATTTCCAATAGCTTCTATAGCCGGCTACACAATTTCTTAAAGCCTTTTATAGCCGATGACGATTAAGCAACAGCCAGGCGATAATGTGTATGCTAAACGCTACTAATAACGATGCTGGGACTTAGTGAGTTTTTGGAATACTTCTCTCTTTTTGGGCCGTAGTATCTTGATTTATTTTGCGAGGAAAGCTCCGTACTTTTGATGGATGTCTGCCATTACTAATATATTAGAGCGTCTTCAGTTTCGTATGATACTGTGCAATACCTCTGGTGTGAAATAGTTGCTTCAAGCGCCGTGGCAGGCGGGCAGCCAGCGCGAACGACGCATTGGCGCCGACAAACCTAACAGGGATACTTCACGCGTTGCGCAATGCGTGAAGTATCCCTGTTGGGTTTGTAGGCGCCAGTGCGTCGCCGCTCCGCTTTGTGTTAGGCTCTATTATTTAATCTGGCGGAGTCAGCGTTATTCAACTCATGATTTTGAACTTTTTGCACATCCTGTATGGATTATTCTCATTTTAATTGATGAAAAAAAAATATGTATTAAAGGAAAATATAACGTGTGTTTTGTAAATATTAAGGTGGTTCCGTATCAAACTTAATGATTTCCAAAGCACACGAATTTATACACAATTTCTTACAGCCTTTTATAATCGATGGCGAAAAAGCAACAGCCAGGCGATAGAGTGTAAAGCCCGGCGATAGGAACTATAGCCCGGCTGCATAATTTTTTATCGCTTCGTATAGCCCGGCCATATGATTTTCTCCGCATTCTACAGCCAGCTATACGATTTTCTGTAGCCTTCTTTAGCCGGCTATAAGAATTTCTATGGTATTTTGAAACCCAGCTTTTATTGCAAATCACCAGGGTCTCTCAGAAAATTACTAAGGCTAAGCCAGACTGAGATTTTACTCTCCAATTTTCAAACTTCAGGACGTTTTAAGCTTGGCCTCAGGTTAGGTTCTGTCCTTCCCGCAGTCCATCTTTTTCATTGTCATGGTACCGGGCACCCTCTCCCCACCCTGCCTCCCCCGAAGTATAAGGTGCCTGATTTTATAATGATTAATTAATGAACGTTTTTTTTGGAAGAATATCCTTGTCAATAACGAGTCGTCGATTTTGAAAAGTAGATCACCAAATAATTCGTTTCTTTTCGGTGAATATACCTGAAATGGATAATGAGCACCAGCAAAAGTGATAAATATACCTATGTGTGTTGAACTTGAAAGCGATCATCAAAATACGTAAAGCTAACGTCACACGATGAAACCTAGCTATCAAAATATCAAGGTCACGTGTTTTGATTGGCTTATTTGATGATTTGGACAAATCACAGCACTTATTGATGGCACGGTTTGATCGTGTGGTATCAGCTTAAATGTAAATAGAGATAAAGGCTGACTAACCTGTCGAGGGTAAGTTCCTCTAAAAGATTGAGATCACAAGCAATGTATTCTAAAGAGGCGTCGGTGATCCTTGGACACCACGACAAGTCCAAACTTCTTAATTTATGTAAATTCTCTGCGATTAATTCTACACCATCGTCCGTGATTTTACTACAGCCAGATAAACTTAAAACTGTTAGGTTTGGTAATGAGTGTACTGCAAACAAAAGAAGACAATCTCTGTTTAAATACTCTGCATCAACAAATGAGCTGTAGATAAAACCTAAATCAAATCATTTCTTCAAAAACATTTCTTGATATAATTTCACGAGGAAAAGCAATAAGACGAACATCAGGAAACTCAACCTCTCCCACATTTTCCTCACCCGACCTGTGGTGGGGCGTCGTGTCAAGTGAATCAATTTGTGGAGGAGGCAGTATCCGCTGGGAGAGTATCGAACAAAAAGCTGCGAAATTTTGAGGTAAAAAAAATTGGAAAAATAGACCAAGGCCGAAATTTTTTTAGAAAACTGGTAGGGAAGACAAAGAGAGGTTATCTTCACTGAAGCGCACTTCCACAAAAAACTTCCCTTTTCGGCCAAAAAGTTTCAATAAGTGTCCTCTCAGTTTCTTGGGAACTTTTGATCCGAAACCCACGTTTGTTAGAGGTTAATCTTTTAGGCGGACCTTGGTTTGACACTCTGGGACTTGTTACTTAATTGCTATTTGAAAGTTGTTAGCTACCCCTAATTTAATTCATTTTTGTAGCTAATGTGTCTTGTCAAAAATAGGATTGTTGAGATCTCGAATCGAAACTTTAAAAAAATGGGTGACGTAATTTATGAACGGCCCCTTAAAGGTCGTACGGATCTGCAATTCCTCCTCTCTTGTAAATTACGTCGTACTTTAGACCTCCCTCCTTTTCTTTTACGACAAAAACCGAAATTTTTCGTTAATATATCTACCATGAGTATCGCAAAATTTTCAAAATTCGGCGCTTTGCGCCGAATTTTACGTGACGGCTCGCAGTGTCAGATCCCAACAATAAATTCTTCGCCGAATCACCCGCACACTGGAAAAAAAACACATTGGATCTAGAGTCCAGACTCTTGAAAACATTGACAAGAAAAAGGACTCTTGATTCAATCAGATTTAAGCTTAAATCAAAAGGAAATCCGCTCAAATTAAGAGGTTTGGTTCTTGATTTCAGCTTGAATCTGATCGAATCAAGAGTATTTTTTCTTGTCGATGTTTTTAAGAGTCTGGACTCTAGATCCAATGTGTTTTTTTCCAGTGTTCTCTTAAAATTTACATTTTTTTTAAAACTTCCGCAAATAGTCCTGCACATTTTGACGAGTCCCGTAAGCTTGAATCTGATTGAATCAAGAGTATTTTTACTTGTCGATGTTTTTAAGAGTCTGGACTCTAGATCTAATGTGTTTTTTTTTTTTTTTTTTTNTTTTTTTTTTTTTTTTTTTTTTTTTTTTTTTTTTTTTTTTTTTTTTTTTTTCTCCCAGTGTACATTTGGATTTTGCGTTGAAGACCTACCTATATTAACGATGCTATGATTAGTGAGCTCCCAGCAAGAGTGAAGCCGGAGTATACTAAGGGAGGCGCTCTGTTTGGGCGAGAAGAATCCCAAGGCGGCGTCGGTGACGTGATAGGCCTGCAGCGAGAGCTCGTACAGGGAGGGCAGGAGCTGAGCCACGGCTCCAATTGCTTCGTCTGCTATGTTGATGCAATCAGTGAGCGTCAGGCAAACTATCCGAGGAGACAGACAGGCCCAAAGCCCCGCTTCCGTCAGCTCGTTGCAGCCCGCCAGCTCCAACTCGTAAAGTGACTGCAACACCAACAAATTCAAATTAGTAACAGAGCCAGGGATTTTTTCGCAGACAAGTTTTCGGTGGCAATTTTTACCGACGCACAGTGGATCGAGTCAATGACAGAGGTCGGACTTACAAATTTTAAAAGCGTATATCTTCATGAATATGAAATGTTGACGTTTCAAAAGAAGTTTCATCGGTTTTCTCGAAAAATTTTCTTTGAAAAAAACCCCTTAAAGTTAAAATTGCGACGAGATAAACGTAAAATTTTACAATTTATGTCAAAAAATTCATGTCCGGCTGCTTCCAAAGACTAGTTCCATTGTGCGACGCAGAGGCAGGTTTATTTCATTCTTCGGGGAGAACGTTAAAAACACGGAGACTGCAAGAAGTTTCTTGTGATCAAGGAAAAGTTTGGATTTACCAAAAGGCTTGAAAAAATCCGCGAAAATCAGAGATGGTTTTGCGGAGGGATGAGTGGAGGGAAGGGGACATTTGCTTTGCAAATCAGTGTATGTACCTAATGCAATTTTGAAGTTAACGTTGCGATGCAAGCGGAGTCGTTTCCGGGTTAACAATTTGGAGGAAGCGGAATCGAAAAAGGAAATGTGGATGGTTCACACTGATTGCTATTTCGCCTTCAATTTCCGAGGTAGGCCAGAAAACATACTGCGTGCAGAAATCTATTCTCACAATAAGGCTTGTGTCTAACGTCGTCTACAATCTCGCCTCGCAGTACCTAAATTATGATTAACTTCGCCTGCTGGCTGCTCATCGAAATTGACAGACAAAGCTATAGACAAAGAAGACAAAAGGAGTATGGAGCGATCCTAATGGTTGATGAAATGGGTGGTTCCTACAAACTAAGGGAGAAAATGGTGGGCTAACTATCGGGTTCTCTCGTGGGTTGCCGTTAGTTAGTCCATTATCTACCTTCTTTGTCCATTGCAACCTCCCGCTTCCACCGATAGGCTCCCTCCATATCCCTTTTGTCTTCTTTGTCTATAGATTTGTCTATCAAAATGAATGATCGGGTTTTCTGTGATTTTCTGTTATTTTTTCCCTTGATACTCAAGGCTGCGATCACACAGTGTTAGAAAATTTACATTAATTGTTTAGCATCGGAATTGAAAATGCGTACAGGCATGCTGACAATGTGGACAATGCACAGCTGTGCAGTGTACCTATGGCCAAAACCAGCCCAGAGCTCGAGTAAAAATTCCGGCGATGGGTTCTCTCGTCACGAGATTTATTATTTGCCGACGTCAAAGACACCCCCGAATCCCCCCCCCCCCACAAAAAAGAAGTCCACTTATAGAGAGGCTCGACTCCTTCGGTTTTCCTTATCAAAGTGATGATGTTTCGAAATCCTCATTGGTATACGGTCGGAAAAATTAGCGAGAAAGGAGGAAAACGAAATGGCGGGGGGCGTAAAAAGAATTACGAGTCTTCGCCGTACCACTTTTTTATTTAGAAACGTCAGGAAGACGAAAGCGTAGCTCCAATTGACGTCACGGATCAACTCCTCAACATTTTTCTCTCAAATGAAGCCCCCGACTGCGCGCTGATTAAAAGGATAACTCGGAAATATAAAAGGCGCTCCGCGGTAGGACGTACGCCTACGGGAGCCTTGACGCAAAAAGTGAGGCTGAGCTAAAACGGGATACCGTTATTAGAATAATCCCGTTCGCATATCTGCGGCGAAACCTCACAAGTCGCGGCATCCTATTAATCGCACTTGTGCACTTTGGGAGTGACGTCTGCGGATGAGTTGTAGGCGGGCGAAGTCGCGAAGACAGCCTCGAGCGCGCGTTTAGTCGTTCGCTCGGATTTGACGGAGTTCTAGAAATCATCCCTCTAGAAACGAGATCCTCATCTCAACCACTGTACTCGGTGACATTCTCCGAGTGAGCTTTGGACCGAGTTTAAATCTCGAGATTGCAGTGATTGTGCAACTTGTTTCGTCTTGTGAGGAGGCCTGAGTAGCAGTGATCGCTATAAATAGCGATTTCATCGCTTGGTTATCGCGATTATATCGGTGGCAATATATCGAGATATTATCGCATTAAATCGCGACATATGGCGGTTAAATCGCTACAAATCGTAATTTGCGGTTCGATAAAATCGTGATCAATTTTTGTAGATAAAATCGAGATTAAACGATTTTTATTTCGAAAATATCGCGATAAATTGTCAGGTGATAAAAGCGCGATTTGTGTGATGATAAAAACATCACTTGAATGTTTCTACTTAGAATTATTTATAAAAATATGTAATTAATGAGTAGAAGAAAATTAGTTGGGTTTTAAGTGATATTTTACCATTTGAAATGACAAAAATTCCAGCAAACTGTGCAAAAACTTCAAAATCATATGAGTTGAAAGCCGCTGACACTGCAAGTTTGAATAATCGCGTCAAACACAGTGCAGCCGGCGCAGAGCTGGCGCGCACGGTACTAAACGCATAGTAGCGCCTTACAATACCGTAGGATACTTCATGCGTTGCGCGTACAGCACGGTACGCGCGGCGCGCATAGTAGCGCCTTATAAGTCCGCAGGATACTTCATGAATTGCGCGTTTACTACGGTGCGCGCTCAAGGAGAAAGCACTCCCAAGTATAGCAGTGATCGCGATAAATAGCGATTTTATCGCTTGGTTATCGCGATTTTATCGCTTGGTTATCGCGATTTTATCGGTGGCAATTAATACATCGAGATATTATCGCAAATCGCGATGTATGGCGGGTAAATCTCTACAAATCGCAATTTGTGGTTCGATAAAATGGTGATCAATTTTTGTCGGTGAAATCGAGATTAAATCGCCAATTTCGCGATTCTTATTTCGAGAATATCGCGATAAATTGTCAGGCGATAAAAGCGCGATTTTATCGCGATAAGATCGAGGATAATCGATCAGATGTTAATGATCCTGGCGATTTTATCGACTCGATAAAATCGCAATATGTAGCAATTTTTCCGTTGAGAAATGCTATTTGGGGAACGTTCAGATCTATTTGCTTTTATTTTCACATGAGGGAAATATTGATTAAAAAAGGAAATAAATTCCGGAGGTTTCAGTTGGTTGCGTACTCTCAGTTTTTTACGGTTGAGAAATTGCGCAATCTTAACAATACTACATTTTATTTCGTTCCTACCTGTCCTCTGCTAAACTCGGCTGTCAATCTGAGAGGAAACAAGCTCGCTATCATTATTTGTTTCACTGCCAGTTACAAATATTTAGAAAAACGTTAAAGTTTCCGTTCTGTGCGACAGTTTGATGACTAGGTGGTGGGAAAAACAAAGACCCTGGGCCTGAGGGGAGAGAGACAAGATGACACGGTAATCGTGCCGTGCGTGGTCAGATCGTCAAATTTGATCAAGTAAACGGTCAAACTGGCGAAAAATCGCAAATTTCAAGAAAATTCCGAAAAAACTGAAAATTCCGGGAAAAGTTCCGATTATTTAAATAGTCCCGAATTTCAGAATCAATTCGGGGAAATGGCGGCACCGGTATGACCTCTCTATAGTTATGATCACTGGTGGGTCATAAATAAATCATGAATCGTCAAATTTGATCAAATAAATGGTCAAACTGTCGAAAAACCGCAAATTTCAAGAAAAATTCCGGAAAAAGTTCCGATTATTTGAAAAGTTCCGAATTTCGGAACTTATTCGGGGAAATGGCAGCACCGGTATGACCTCTTTATAGTTATGACCACTGGTCGATCACAAATAAATCATGAATCGGCGAGTATTAAACTCGTTGACATTCAGAAGAGAGTGAATGAAATTCCTCGAGGTTTATTACCCCTGGTGCTCCGCTAGGTAGCGTGGGCGTCGACCGACCTTGAGTGGAAGTTACGCGTCGATGGTGTTTTACGGCGCGGCGGCCCATTGGCACACATTTCCAGTATTTCAGGAAAAGCAATAAATCGTGGTGTGATTTACTTCCTCGCTTGATGAGATGCTGCGGCGAGGCGCGGCCAGGAGATGTCAACGGGAACGGCACACCCAAGACTCTCCTGAGTCCACAAAACACATCCTGATGGAAGAGCTGGAGGAATGAGGGACGGGAGGAAAATTCAGACGGAGGAAGCTTAATGGAGATTTTGCACGCAAATATCTCATTGTTTAATCTGAAAGTGCCTAAAGAGCTGATTGTGCAGTATTTTTCATAATTTTTTTTGACTGCGGACTCAAAGGAGAATAGTGCAAAAACAGATTTAAAAGTGAGAAAATGCGCCACCTAGTGACGTCATCTGGCGGCGTTTCTCATTTAAACGCACGTATTTAAGCAGATTAAATCATTTTGTCACATCTCCTCCAATAATTGTTCGATTTACGAACCAAGGGAATCCTCGTATTCAGCTCATTTGGTAGCGTCCACTCAAACACGGAATTCAACAAATTTCAGACACCTGAAAAGTCTCCGTTCATTGGGTTAAAGGAATGCAGAAGAACTTTAAAACCCCAGTTTGAAAATGAGCATAGCAGCAATTACGTCGTACGACAGTAAATAAAATTATAAATGCAGTTAAAGGTTTGGCTATTTTTTGCAGTTTATTAGGTAACGAAAAATAGTCATAGTTTTGCGGCAATTTTAGCGTCGCGCAAGCTAGGGAAGGGAGCTCTGTCAAGTGTCAAGTCATCTTCAATGTGATGTGCCTTCAATCCAGTGAGCGGTAATGTGCCTATACAGTGATCGAGAAGTTATCGCGAACAACTCGTGCATTGCGTTTGGTGCAATGCGAGAAGTATTCATGCAGTCGTGTAGGCGCTAATATGCCTTCGACGCTGACCGCACTGTTTGGCGCAATGCGTAAAGTATTCCTACAGTCTTGCAGGCGCTGATATGAGTTTGACACCGACCGCACCGTGTTCGACGCAATTATTCGACCTCGCGTTTGGATAATCGCGGCATCGAAAAATGGGGCTTAAAAGGCCCATGTTGTGTATCGACGCCGTATGAGCAGTCCGACGTTGCTTCGCGTTTCTCCCGATAAAACATTTTTACTGAG